TTTAGTTGACAAAACATTATCATGAAATAAAGCACGTCTAAGAACTGTCTAAGTTTTAAAATAAGAAAAAGAACACGCGACGTCTTTGACAACAAGAAAATTACAAGTACATAAATATAAATATAACATAAACGTAAATATTGTTTATGAATAATACAAAATGTCTAAATGTCTAAACTAATAGTTCAAAAATAGCTTAAACGTTTTGTAAATTTAACCTCCTCTATAGAAAAAACAAATATAAGTATTCTGTCGAAATTTCAAGTACACGAACATTTTTAAATGAATTACAACAAAAACCCAAAAATATTTTAAAAACCCCCTGGAAAGACAAAAGAATAATTTAAAAACTCACGTCATAGTAAAACTAATAGATACCTCGTTGCACTTCGAATCTAAATTGCAGAAAAACCTATTGTAGTAAAATAAATAGATTCTTTGCTGCGCTCCGAATCTCGTATACTATAATCATCAAAAACAAATATTAACGATGGAAAATTGCATAAATTGCAAATTAATAACAAGAATAATATTCAAGATTTGTTGCTTTCCCTTGGCCAAATTCCAAATGGCGTCTATGTTGATAAAAAAAATCCGCGTGTGTAATAAAACGATAATTAATCTAATGAATAATATACTACATATTTCACAAAAAAAAAGAGAGACAATTACACGCGATATCGGCCATAAGTTTTTTGTTTCTATATAGGTAATGCAATAATTTTCATAATAATTGAATTGAAATACTTAATTTCTGTATAGAATGATTAATCAAATTTAACTATATTCTTATTTATCGTACAGATTCGTTTAAATGATTTCGTTGAAAGATTCGACTGGCGGTTGGAAAGACAATACCGTGATTTTCCATTCTTCTAAAGCCTGTGCACAAGCACTGAATTTATTTGGTTCAGCGGTTGTCAATGATATTATGAAATAATTTTCGAACTAATTGTACTTGTCCGTTTCCTATTGTAAATATAATTCTAATGGATCTATTAACGCACTATCAATAAAATATAACTGCTTTTAGGGTGTTTACGTCTCAAACGGATTTGACGTTACAGGTTTAATATCAAAGATGAATATACCAAAACAATTTCGTAATAAAGTATTTGATTTTGTTACAGCGGTTAATTTATCGAGTGTACAATAATTTAAATTGGTTATTCAAATAATTTTTTATAAAGTGAGTACAACGTTATAACAAAAAGAAATAAAACAGTTGATAAGGGGAATCGGTGCGGCCACTGTTGTAGATGGGTAGAGGGGAAGGTGGGTTACATAAAGTTATATAGTTTATGTCTGTAACCAACAATAAACCATCGATAACAAAAAACGATACGGAACGAAGAAGTTCGGTTATGCATGTTTTAAAAGGCCGTAATATTTACGATTTTCGTCAAAATCTGATTTTAAAATTTTAAAAAGGAACTCGAAACATTACTATCTTGGTCACCAACCAAAAAACAAAAAAGATCTTTTGATGTTATTCTATTGAAGCAATATTTATAGTAGAGAACATAAGCTGTAAAAAGCTGCCAAAGGATAATAAGGACCGGTGTTATAGGTGAGAAGTCGGGAAGATGTAGAGAGGAAATTTAATGTTCATCTATCATGGGCATTCACACGGGGGGGCGGAGAGGGTACGGTGATGGAGTTTTTGTTCGACTTATTTTTAGTAATAATAATCAAATAAATAAATATAATCAATAAACATTTTGCCGGCATTATTTTCCACAATAGTCGTATGCGGATTACAAACCGCATACAGTTATCAACCGTGTTTGTACTTTGTATGTCTGTGGTTACAGATTAATATCTTTATCGCGGTTCGGGTTTTATAAACAGCTGAGTTCATTTATAATTTATATAAACAATAAATTAACCCGCGATACTACCACCGAACAACGATGACAGTATTAACATATTTTCCCGGGGTTTCTGTTGTTACCAATCGTATTTCGTGAAAAATTAAGTAAATGATTTTTAGAAACATCTTAATGAAATAACATTGTTGGCCATCCATTGAGATATCCCAATTGATCCCGAAGGAGTTCTTTAATACGTATTTGCCCGAAATTCGAGAAAACTGTATATCATTATGTAAATTCAATATTTTAATCAAAACTATAAAAACAGTATATGTTATAATTTAATTTATGTTGTTTTGATATAGGAAAAGGGGTGTTGGGGGTTGAAATTAATTTTCATATCCCCCCTCTCAATAAAAACAATGGCAATGCCTCTGATATCTGTATGCGACGGTTAAGCATTGCTATAAAAAAATCGATTCTGAACGGAGTTCGGTTAATAATGTTGCTTTGTTATATATGTGTCATATTATGGTATGTATATTACATGTGCATTATATATTTTCTTTAATAACATTTGTATAATATTGACCTAATTTTCCATTTTTCCTGATTTTACCCATTTATTGGGAAAACTCCTGAGAAAATCAAAAACTCGCTTCTCGAAAGTATCACTCCAATCAGATCATTTCATTCAGGAAAAGCGCTATCGATGTAAATCGGAGCAAAATCGCTTGTAGACAAATTATCCGCACCCTACAGTGAAAAAAAAGACCGCAATATTTTTTAACTAATGCCTACATTTTATATATTTTCCCATTTTTGCTTTATTTTTTTTCTGGTTTTTCCAATTTAATGAGAAAACTCCCGGAAAAATAAAAAATTAACCTCCTTATAGTACCTCGCCAGTCTAATTAATTTTAGAAAAATTGTTATCATTGTAAATCGAAGGAAAATTGCTGTAGAAAAGTTATTCGTATACACACATAGTAAAACCAGTAGTTCCTTCACTACACTTCGAATTCAAAAGTATCTCGTGATGTGTGATTGGATCAAATTTTCGGTAGAAAACACAATTCGTAAAATTTAAAACTATTGAAATCATTAACGCTGCGATGCGCCGTAAATGTTTTCTGTTTTTCTGATAAGTTTTTTTTCCGGTATTTTCCAATAATTTTGATAATCTCTTGGAAAATCAACCTCCTCAGTGCATCAACTAGATAAAATTTTCTTTCGGAAAAGGTGCTACACCTGATACATCGGAGCAAGTCATTTTTTAGAAGAGTTGCTCAAGGACACACAAATTACAAAATAAATTCCACACACTCACATCATAGTAAAACCGATTAATTGATTTTTCCCTGTGCTCTGAATTTTAAACAACTTGAATATATTTGTAAATAATTAAAAAAGTAAATCTATGTTATTAAATAAGAGAATACGATATTTTCGAATATAATTTTGTGATGTAATGTAATTTCGTAGTATTTATAATTTCGATATAGTAAAGATAATTTTATGATTGGCTATAGTTATTGCAAAAAAATTGCAGATTCGTAAAAGAAACAATATATAATTTTTATAATACTGTATTATAGTTTGTAATTAGCTTTTTGAAGGCACGCGCATGTTTCTCGTTTGCTCGTATTAAATTTTCCCTATTATTTTCTGTAGTTACATAGTCGAAATACGTACTAATACAACCGTCCGATTTTCGTCTTTCATACAACAATTGAATCAACCTCACAGGCACACTGGTCTCTTCGGACCTTAATCAAATAAATCAAATAATAACAATCGACCAATAAGACAAATATACGAGATAATTAAATCCATGTTTTACAGCGTAATGACGTGGTTTGAGTTATAACGAGATAAGATAACGATATGTAAACCGTGATAAGAAATTATAGGATTCGAGAAAAATGATGTCGATGAAGAGATGGACAATTCGGACGGCCGCGTTAATGGTATGACACCGGCTCCGACATCTAGCCCAGAACCGCTCGTTTCATATTATTTCCACATTGAATTTGTTTAAATGTTCATCGCGATCATCAAACACTGAACGTTTCATCTTAACAAAAGTAAAACCCATCAACGCCATCTACCGTACAAAAAAAAAAATAGTGAACCTAGTTATCGTACATGGAACGGGATTGCATATTATTATTGTCTGCGTTCCGTTCGATTAGTTATTCGATTAACCCGTTTAATGAATTAAAATAAAATAGATAAAACGTATTCGACAGACTGCAGTGACGTTTATATATTAACCATTTGTTGACAATACAAATATCAACAATGTGAAAAATAATTCTAATATAATTCTTACGCATTTGATATCTGGACGATAAAGCTCTTGAAGATCCACAACGCCCATAAAAGAGTTGTATCCAACCTTTCAGTTAGTATTCTTAATTGTTGAGCTACTGTCCAACGTGTTACCTAATCAGTAGATTCTGAGCCAATGCAATTTGATATTAATCGAACAGTCTTATTATCTAACCATTTTGAATTAAAAAGGGACATTTATATTACCTATCAATGTTTGTGTCATTTGAACCTCTTATTTAATTTTTAAGGATTTTGTCAGATTCAAACTGACAGTCGTTCAATCAATAAGATCTAACGATTATAACAGATAAAATACCACAATATTTCCAAGTCACTAATAAATTATAAGACGAAAACCAATTATCATAACTCAATTTGTATTTTTTGTGCCCGTGTATAATTTTTGATCGACGATTAACAATATCTCCACTAACACCAAGATTAGATTTCGACTCTATTGTACGCTTCCCAGCATACATCTAAATCATCCATTATTCCTGATTTAGATACTAAAACAAACATTTCGATGCCCCGTTTAAGAGGTTTCGATTTGTTGTACGGGCCTCGTGGTACTCTTACCTTTAAAAAGTACAGTGAAACCTCATTAAGGCGCTCTCGAAAGGGAATTAATTCGTAAATCCGTGTATAACGCAGGATGGCGTAGTAGACAGGATCCCACCTAATACGCTCTTGAAGCGTGTTTTAAACGGGATACGAGACAGAATAAATTAGAAAAAGATTTAACAGTGGTACGTGTTATTTATTATATAAAACAAGTAAATCGAATAAAAACATTAATATACACACTCCGTTAATATTAACTCCATGCACATTGGCAAAAGGTTACTGCACACGTATTTTTCAATCATTTTTTTTCTGTATTAAGAAAAGCGGTGATGGCCGGTTGTTTCAATAAGTTATTTTCACAGTTATTCAACAAGAAGGTTTCCGTCTCGCCTAAATATAGAAGTACGTTTTCCGAGTCATCAGTTGCAGTGAGTACCTGTTATTGATTGTACATTACACGCGAGTTAAGGAAGTGATGGTGAGTATAATCTTCCATTGGTTGATCATCCTTTGGAACATCTGGTTCATCATTAATTGTAGTCTGGTTGATAATTTCTTCAAGATCGAAAGTTTCGCTCGTTATCAAGTGGTCGTCAATGGATGTTCATCATTTTCACTGTCGTATTTAACTTGATTTTTTCAATATTGAAATGTACGATAGGCTAGAAAAGAGAGCGCGTTACGTATTAAGCGGGAGCTTATTAAGCGTGTTTTTTGTCAATGTTAAAAGACCTACAGGTCCCGGAAAAATTCTACGTATTAAGCAGGAGCGTCTCAATATATTATGATTTTATCAACAGCTAAAAACTCATCAGGTCGAATTGATTCAAATGAATTTCGTATGACATCAATTAAACACCTCGAACAATTTTTTCGTGATCAATGTTTATAGATGATAAAAAATTAATATTATCTTTGAAATGTACACTCGTGCATAATTGAGCGGATCGACTTTGTGACATTGTGTCAACTATTAAAGGATATCTTGTTAAAAACAGCCAATACATTCTACATGCTGGCATTTTAATAGTTGATATAATCATATGCATGCTAAATAATTGTTCGATTTCATTTGCCTTAGTATTTATGCTTATACCATTTTTCTGGGTGGAATACAAATTTGTTCGATAAACAATGTTTTCAATTCTTTTTGAATTAAATAATTGTTTAAAATATTGTAATGCGGTTAAAGGTTCTACAAAAGTGTCGGAACATGTTTACATCAAATCGGTATTTTTGAATTTTTCCAACAACCATCAATCCAGTAAATCTGGTAAATCTGAATTTTCTCCTTCGTCACTTTCTTCCAGTACATTTCCTTTGTCGACCAATTCATTAATTCGTTCTTTGTCTTCCGTTTCGTTTTCCACAATCCGACTTTCCAAAATAATATATTTTTATTTTTTTTTTATCAACCGACTACATAGCGGACCGTCAACACCGTTGTCGTGTTCGTCGCGTAGGGTAAGTGGAAGAGACGTTTCGTATCTAGCATGCATATCTTTTATTACGCAAAGAATAACAGACTCACAACCAACGAAAAAGAAAAATCGTATGTAAAATTTAAATTGTTGATATTCTGTTGCCATTATCACATAATATTTTATCACGAAAGATTGTCGATATATGGTCGTAGTATTATTTGTATAATACTTAATTGATTCTTTAGATTTAGTAAAACAATGCTTGGTGTTTGTGGATTTTGTAAATAATGGCCAGGAACTTCCAATTGACGATTTTTCGGCCTCTAACTTAACTAGCGTGGACAAGGTTGAGCTCGTAAAACAAATTTTGTATCACTTGTATAAATGTAGTTTAACAATAAATGAATAAACAACGGATATTCAACTAACGTCTATAGCACGGATTTTAGGTTGCAACTTGAATATTTTTAATTGATCAATAAAGTGTATATTTAAATTCTGTTTAGAGCGAAAAAACTTATGATTTTACAAAGGTGTTTAATTTTTTTTTATACATGCGCAACTTTTATACCGGACCGGCAATTTCGCTCTGGTTTACAATCAGTGCGCTTTTCCTTAAAGGAAATCCGACTGGGGAGGTACTTTAAGGAGGTCGTTTTTTTGATTTTCCCAGGATTGTTCTCAACAGATAGAAAATATCGGGTAACACCGGGAAAAACGTAGGAAAAACGGAAAAATCAGTACGTTAAACAAACACTATTGAAGAAAATATATAATGCCTGTTTAATTGTTTTACCATAATATGATGTATTGTCGTTGAAAAAAACATCACTGTCAATTGAACTCCGCTCAGAATCGTTTTTTCGTTAGCAACGGTTTATTGCAGGCGTACGTTAAATTGCCTGTAACAGCGGCTGCACCCCGTTATTCTGGGACATAGATTTTTTTTTTTTTTGTTCCTGTATTGCCGTGCGTATTCTATAACAATACCTGCAACACAATTTTTATGCGTTAAAAACGATTTAACGCATTGGTACAGTTAAATGGCTAATTCGATACTGTTGTCATAATTGATCGATCGTTAAATACGTCAATAGTTAACGTCTAACTCTTGACGCGCGCACGCGACGATAAACGATATTTTATATTGGCGGAACGGCTACAATGCGAAAATACGTCACTTTTACGCATCGACCGAACACCCCGGAAAAGCGCCTCTTCGTACACTGCGATTCGCCGTCGGCGCCCTGGTGTTCGGCGTCACCGTCGTGATCGTTGCGGTCGGGTCACGATCCGATCAACGCAGACGGTGGTAGGGACCATGCGCCGGAGCCCGGTGGACGGGCGGTCAGGTCAAGCGGGTAACGTTTCGCCCGTTCCGGCGACGATCAGTAGTCGGTCGGTCGGTGAGCAATCCGGTCAACGCGTCGCTGTTACCGCCGTTTCGCCGCGTCTCCGTAGCCATGATGGACGACGAACTGTTAATCGAGCTGGTGCGCGAAAACCCCGTGCTGTACGACTCGGCGCATTTCAAATATTCCGACATAACGCACAAGGCGGATTTGTGGAAGCGTATCGGCGAGCTACTCAGATCAGGTACGCACACCCGCCAAACAACGCGCCGTCCCCGCGACGCCGCCGGGCCACCGGCGCCCGTTCGGCTGGCGAATCGCCGTCGCTCGGGACGCGACCGGGTTTTTCGACGGGCCGCGCGTTTTTCCCGACGACGCCGCCGGCGCGGGTGCCTCGGTTTCGTTCTTTCGTCGACCGCCGGGTTACCGCGTGGCGCCGCGCACGCGGGCGCGCGGCCGCGATCCACGGACGTGATCGCGGCGATCGCGCGCGCCGAGCCCCGCCCGGAATCGCATTCGCCGTCCGTCGCGACGGTCCCCGCGGGCGGGTCGCAACGCCGTAAACCTCTCGTCGGACCGTAGCGCGCGTCCCGCGCGGGTGCCCGCCCGCGGAAACGGCGGCGGCCCGGCTTTTTAATCGACTCGCGCGCGATCCGTCATCGAGTTGCACGCGTAGGTGCCCGGGTAGGCGACGCGCGCGCGAAAAATCGCGTATCCCCGTCCGCGCACCCGGATCGATTTTCCGCCGGGCGAGCGCGAGAGCGTTCGCGACGACGTCAGGCGTACACCCTGCCGCAGTGTACGCAGCGACGGCGGCGACGCGTTGCGGAGAAACCGTGCGGCGCGTGCACGCGCACGCACACGCACGTGTTGATGGCGGCGCTCGCCGGCGATCGCGGCGGTGACGTGCTGCGTCGTCGCCGTATCGACAACGGCCCGTGTAATGTCGCCGTTGTACGGAGCGATTGTTATTTATTTTTTTTTTTTTTTTACCCCGGAGACCGATCCGATCAATCGCCACGTCCCGTTCATCGTAGTCGCGGTGAGCGGACATAAAAGTCCGGAAAAAATGATGCGTTTTAAAATTCGGGCCCTCCGTTATCGGGAGAGGAAAAAAAGCAAGCAAACCCCCCCCCCCCCCTTGAATGAATTGGTCAATGTGTGGGTATGCTAGTCCACTCGTTTTGCCCACGGCTCGTCCACGTACAATTTTTTTTTTTTTTTTTTCATCCGATAACTTTACTATTATTTTTTTTTTCTATTATCGACTATGAAAATAGATAAAATCACGTATAACAACTGGTGATCGTGATGTTAACAACTTTTGTTTTCTCGTCGAACGGTGGTTCTCCGGCTCTCGCCACCGTTGTCGGTCACACCGTAAACTATTAGAATATAAACGAATAATTAATGTAAACATAAACATGTATGAGCCCGTAATATTTTTAGAAAAAAAAAAAAAAACAGTACAATTTCATGTACTTAACACTCTCGTTAAGAACGTAGGACAGTCCTATGAAAAAGAACGCGGCTGGTCAATTATAGTCCAGTGTTTCCCAACTTATTTTACTCACGGGATCTTTTCGGGAACTTGAATATTTGATGGAATCCCCATTTTTTTTTTTTTTTTTATTTTATTTTTTTTTTTTTTTTTTTTTTTTTGCCGAATAACGTAGACATATTTTTTGGACACCGAAATAAGTGGGCGGTCCGAGACTTCCGGAAAAAATGGCTGTATCACTTTCCGTGGCACTCTGATCGAATTGAAAATGTTTTAAAACCTTGAACACCAGATGGAAAACACTGTATTATACATCTGTACCCGGTGGACGAAATTCGACCGCGATTCTTTACGTTTCAGATTCGGAGTGTAGCGACGAATGCATTAGTTTTTTTTTATTTTTTTTATTTTATTTTTTTTTTTGATCTACGAACAAATTTTTTACTATCTTTCCCCAAAATTTGGGTTTTTTTTTTCTCATTTATGACGGTCGACTAATCGGATATTAAATACAAATACAGTAGAAACCGTTTAAAATGGGATTCCGGATTCAAGGGACAGGATAAAATTAGTCGTAATAACCGACTGTCATTACAATCAAAAATCAAAATTTTAAAATCACCAACAGCAATCGTCTACGTTTATAATGACACAAAAAACACGAAATAAACGGTGTTTATTTATTTATTTGTTTTTATTTTTTATTTTTTTATATTGTGTACAAGAATTCTACCGGCAATCTTGCTCGGTTATTTACGCGCAGTACCATTCCTGAAAGGGAACGTTGTCTAGATAGTACTTTCGGGGATCATTTTTTTGTTTTTCAATGCGGTATACGTAATATCTGGAAAAAAACCAGGATAAAACGTAAGAAAAACGGGAAATTCACGAAAATAATGCGTTTATTATTTTTCAATTATTTGTTATTTGTTGTAATTCAGTTAAAAATATTCGCAGAGACTTGTAATGCGGACAGAAAACATTCTAGACGTGGTAAAATATTCAACAAATTTAAGCCATTTTTGAGCTATTTATAGACATTTAAATTTTGCTAGTTTTGTAGGAAATTTTTATTCAGTAGGTACTCTGTGTTAAATTGTTTAGACTTAAAAAAATACAAGAGGTGCATTATCATTGGAGTCAATTTGTGATCAGAAAAGAAAATTGAAGTTTGATGTGTTTTTTTTTACAAAGGAATTTTAATATCAAATTTTGACGAAAATCGTTGAGTAACAAATCTAATTTTTCAATTTTTTTTTATTTCCGAATAGATGTATATTGCCGATTTAAGAACGATGGTAAAGTCAGAATTGAACGGACTGACCAAGTTTCGACATTATAGCTTTTTAAAGTTCTAATATTATATTATTTTAAGTAACTAAATATTGTCTACTATATATTATGTTTGTCGTAGCTGAGTGATAAAACATACCAATTTTCACCCTTGGGTTCGCGAGTTCGAATCTGTGTTTCGAACAAAAATTTTTTGATTTTTTTTTTTTTTTTTTTCCCCCTTTTACCTAAACAAGGAGAAAAAATGCATTCTGAGTGTATCTAGAAACTCGGACTATTTTAATCGCAAAATACCTCTTGATTTGTTGTACAAACTTTTCTGCCAAAAATCTTGCTCCAATATACCAATTGTAGCTTATTTTCCGAAAGAAAATTTTATCGCCATGGTAACTTAAAGAGGTTTTTTTTTGTTTTTCCCATGAGTTTTCCCAATAAATGGGAAAAATCGAGAAAAAACTGGAAAATCTACAAAATACATTAGTAAAATATTACGATTATTTTGTTCCTGTAGATAACTTTTCTATCAGTAATTTTGCTTAGATTTACAATGATAGCAATTTTTTTAAAACGAAATCCGGCTGGAGAGATTCTTTAGAGAGGTTATTTTGAGATTTTCTCAGGAGTTTTCTCAATAAATGTGAAAAACCGAAAAAACCGAGGAAAACATAAGAAAATCGGTACAACATTAAACAAATATGATTTAAGAAAATATATAAAGCCTATATAATTAGTTTACTATAATATGACATATATACTGGCTGTACAAAGCAACTGAACTCCACTCAGAATTTGTTTTTTCGTTAGCAATGATTTATCGTTTCTTACAAGTATACATTAAATTATCTATAACAGTGGCTGCACCCGTTCCCCATTATCCTAGATAAACGTTTTTGTTTTTCTTTTTAATCTTAATTATTTGGTTTTTCAGATGCTGGAAAATGCAAACAACGCTGGGAATCTCTCCGTTCTCAGTACAGAAAATTTATGCGCAATACAAAATCTAAAACGTACGATGGCCAGCAGCCCAAATGGAAATACAGTGACCAACTGTCGTTTATTCATCCTCACATGAAGGACAAGAAGACCAACGCAGACGGTTCGGAAGATAACCAGGACGATATGGACGATCCGTTGCACGCGGAATCTAACGATTCTTGGCCCGAAACTAATATCGGCTTGGAAATCTCGACGCCGTCGTCATCGTCGACGCAAAAACGCATTCTAACCTTCGACGAGCTGCCAGAAGACAGTTACGGCGTCTGGAAATCCTTGGCTAAGAAAAGAAAATCGGCGTTGGCGGAGATGGCGAGTACTACACACGTGAAGCATGTGTTGGACGTAAAAAAAGATACCAGATTTGACGAGCTCGATTTGTTTTTCGATACGATGAAAATGACGGTCAAGAAGTTTACCATTTCAGATAAGTTGTTGGTGAAACGGAAAGTGTTCAACATCATCACCGAAATAGAGGAAATGTATGCGGACGACGAACAACTATGACAAAACCCTGACCCGTCTGTTCCCAGATCATTATCGCTATCTTATTTACCTCATATGTAACGGTAATGTACTCTTGCCAAATTAAACAGTTTTTTTTTCTTTTATTACTTACCACACACGTTTCACTATATGTAACAATCAAATAAATCTAAGGGGAAGACATTTAATTTATAACAATAAAAATTCATAAAATCATACATAATTACCAATAAAATTCGATATTATTTTAGTAATCCCTTGCTTCACTATGAAAGAAAAAAAAAAAAGCAATTTAATATTTTCTTAGATTTATTTTACGATTGTAGATTATTTTGATTGTGTTAATCTATTTCATTAAAAACTGTGTTAATAAAATGGTGTGACAACGTTTGTTGACATTCGTGTTTGAAACATTTTTTCCTTTTCGCATTCCGATAAAATACTATCGCATAACTCACAGTTTTAAAAACGTTGACGCATGCATTTTTTTTATTTGTACAGATTAGGTTTTATCCCTCTTTTATGAGAGATTAAAAATGCCGTTGTTACGTGACGTTTTTCTACGGACATTAAATGAAATCTACATAATTTATTATCATGTTAACCGTTTTTTTTTTTTTTTTCATTTGAGTAGCACGTTAGCGATACCAAACTAATCTCACCAGCTGTTGTACACAAAATAAATATGTGCGAAAACATTACATTTCCAACCCACCTAAACTAAACATAATATGAAACGTTTTTCAAATTGTGAATGGAACGAAGAATTTTTTGGTTTTACAATGTTTTTTTTTTTTTTTTTTTTTTTTTATACCAATAAGCATACTTCGATTTTCAAATATACCATCTTTTCTGAAAGGAAATATTCTCTGGGCAGTACTTTTTAGAGGTCATTTTAGAGGAAAATTCTCATTCATATTCGAGATAGTGAGGAAAATCTCGGTTTTTAGGTAAAAAAAGATTGAGATTAAAAATAAGGTTTTCGTTGGCGACAGTTTTTATTTATCTTTTGTTATTATTAAGTTTTTACTGTTTTTATTTTTTTTAAACAATCATTGTTTCCACGGAAACGCACATTATTGTAATCATTTTACCATAATATGATATGTACCATATACTGTATTATTGACAAAACAACAATATTAACTGAACTCCGTTCAGAATCGTTTTTTTCGTTAGCAACGGTTTATCTTTGCTTACAGATGTATATTAAATTCCCGTTTGTATCCTACTTTCCCAACTTTCCACCTATAATAGTGGTTGCACTCACTTGTAAAATATGTCCGTCTTTTTTGTGTCTATGTATATATTTTTTATTAATATATTTATTTACGAGTATTAACCATTTTAATAACTTTGTATGTATTTTGAATGTAATATACTATGTGTGTAATTTTTTTTGTTCATTATTATTATTAAAAACTGCTCTACCAAAAATCTGTCTTCAATCAAAAAACACCAAGAGATCTGTTTTATGACATTTTGGGATATGGTCGGTACATTGAAATTATTTATTGATTTTTCAAGCGGTTTTCATAATTGGAAAAACCCTTAGAAAACTTCAAAAATGAACTTCGCTCAGAATCGTTTTTGGGTAGCAACGGTTTATCGTTGCGTACGAATATAAATTAAATAACTTTATATATCGTATCTTCCCAACTTCGCACCACTCACAACAACTATAGCACATCCGTTCCCAGCACCAACACTCTCTTTATTTATTTTATTTGTTTTAACAACGATGTCTTTAATACTTACCGTCCAACGTGACTTATTTGTGTTGAACGTATAAGTATGGTTCGAAATCAAAAAGTTAATAAATTAAAAATTCTACAGACGAACGATTTTTAGAAAACTTGTCCGTAGAACTTACAACGAATATCACAATAATAAGAATAATAATATGACAAATGATAGAAAATTGTTTTTTTTTTTTTTTTGTATTATTTTTATTAATATTGCTAAACGCTGGAGCGAGAACTGCAGCAGTCAAGATCGATGTATAAATTATAAAACATAAAATAATACACAACTATATACAATTGGACATTTTTTTTTTTTTTTTTTTTAAAAAGAAAATCAATATTTATTACACGGGTATGTATAATTTGTATATGAATATATAGGTATTTATTATATATATATATATGTGTATACATGGACCGATCGTTAGGTATTTGTCGGTAATTACCGCGCGTGATACGGTAACCGTAAGTTAGGTTACCCGATAGTTGTGTGGTTCACGCGAGGTTATAGGGTAACACCGAAGTAATTTCGGTCGGGGTTAAAATACCGGAAGGAAATACCGGGGGCGCCTCGCGACAGAGGTTCTTCCCCGGTCTGGCGGTAGCGGTCCGCGCCGGCCCCGCTACCTACGGGCCACGTTTCAGGAGGTCTCCATGAACTCCACCGGAGGCGGCGTGTGCAGCGCCGAGGACGGCGACTCGTTGCCGTCGAACCGGTACTCCGCCGGCGTCCTGCTGGCCTTCCGCTTGCCGGCCTGCTCTATCCGGGTGTTCACGTTCAGCATGCCCATCTGGCCCAGGTAAACCACCTCGTTCACCAGCCGTTTGGCTATGATGACCGATTGCCGGTCCATTTGCCGGAGCTCGTTGGCCACGTACCGGCCGAACCCTTCGTAGTAGTCGGCCACCGGCGGTTCGGCCGGGTCGCCGCCCACGCCGCCCACAATTTGGGGCTCGTAAAAGTCCACCGGGAGCGCCGAGTACCGGCCGATTTTTCGCCGCCGGCTCTTCGGCCTTTTCCCGCCAATAACGCTGTTGTGGGCGTCAGCGCCGCCCATGACCATTTGCAAACTCCCGGTCGCCGACGGCGGCTGTTGGTCCGGTTCGGTGGAACACGAATCTCTGTCGTCCGACCCGGCATGGTCCTCGTAAACCAATATTTGAGCCTGCAATAGAAATCGTCACGCGATTAATAACCGTTTAAAAATATATAACATTATGTCAGTACATATGATGAAACGTAAATTCGACTTCCGAAATATCATAAAAAAAAACAGTATGCCTATAAACGACTAAAAAGTCGGCAAAATGTATTCGACATTTTACCGCGTCTAGAAAATGCTAATGTAAGTGTTTTGAGAAAATTTCGATTATTTACGATTATTTCTAACCGAATCACAACGAAAAATCAAAATTAAAAATAATAAAACATTTAATGCCGGAAATTATCCAGATTTTCTTACGTTTTTTCCCAATTATTCATAAAATAAAATAAAACCATTTTATTGCTTACCAAACTAGACAACATTCGAAAAATCTTTCAGAAAAGGCATTAAATTTGAATTTCGGAGCAAGATTTGTGATAGAAAACAAAAACCATACAATTTAAAACAACGAAATCGTTAACGCCGTAAATATTTGTTAGTTTTTCCCAATTATTATGAAAAAATTTACATCCACATCAATGCATTAATTAGATCCGAAATGTAACAAAAAAAAAGGTCTTTTATAATTTTTTCGTTGGAGCAAGATTTCTGATAGAAAACGTATTAACAGATACGCCTCGTATATTGTAAAATATTCCTCGACTCCGCACAGAATCTAAAGGAAACAAAGTAGAAATGGATAAATACAACTGCACGGTTTTCCACATTTTCTTCAACTTTTAAATTATTTTTGTCCACTTTAATTATCCCCTTATAATTACAGCACTTTCACGCTAATCTACTGCCCATTCAAGGGGAAGGTCCGTTATCATTCGGACAAATATGGTATGAGAACTATCACTGTCGGTTGTATATATTTTTTTTTTTTTTTATTATTGACCGACGACGATATTTTACAACCCACATTAAACTAATCGAATTTTCAAGACGTGCACATACAATTAAAATTATGTCTGCCTCGTCCGTCCGCTATACAAATCTATCATTTTGTCCCGATATTAACGACACTTTGCAAAGTACTCGACACTCAACACAAGAGGAATACCGCTGTTTACTTTTTTTTTATCCCGAAATTAAACCCTTAAGGGTGGCTAACACGGGGCTTTTGGTACGTTTGAAACGAAAATTGAAATTGTTACTGTTAAATTTAATGTTACTATTATTTATGGTTTACCTTGACGACATGGATGAAAAAACCGTTATTACTATTTAATTTGGTTGTTATTAAAAAAGGAAGTGCCCTTTTCATAAGATAAATTATCCGGCAAAAACTAACTGTAATGGTGGAGGAAACGGATTGATTCCGAGTAATCCATCTAGTAATAGTATAAAAAGCCGATTAAAGAAATCAAAATTTATTTTTTCTATAAAGCAAAATGTTTAAGATTAAATTATTGAAAACCTAAAATAAATGCAACTGTGATGGATTCTTTTTTTTTCCCCCCCGATAACAAAAAATAAACGTCGAACGAGACATGCGAGTTTTTCCCAAAATGTTTTTGATCCATAATGCGCACCGGCCTCTTAAAATAAAATGAAACGTGCGCGTTGTGGCTTACAAAGGCCAGATATGGGATGAAGAAAGTTAGACAAGTTCTGCAAAAAAAAAAAAAAAAAAAAAACAATTTATCTTTACAAAATCCATACTATAGATGGCGAGAAAAAAAAATACGCGAATACCGAAATTAATAAAAACCATACCTACGCGCAATAACGAAAAATATTATATAAAGTTTTCGTTAACGACAAACGCAACAAAAATCTAATAATAAAAAAAATTTTCGTTTAACGACCCAAACGATAAAGTTTTTTGTAAAAATATTATCAACGGTATACGAGTATATAGCCGAGGGGAAAACGTATAGAAAGTAATAAACTAATAAAGGAGAAAAAAACAATATACGAAACGTGTGATATTATTATTATTTTTTTTTTTTCATTTTCAGTTAAAATAATATAAAACAAACTGAGTAAAAAAGTCTTTATAAAAAACACGATTGCGTGTACAATATAATACGCCTTTTTTTTTATAGGTTCGTAAATTTAATATGCGAAAACGGCGACAAAGGTAAGTTCCCTCGCATTTTCTACTCCCTCCCCTCATCCTATAAAAGGTATTGTTTATTCTGTCTAGGCGGTTGTCATTCCGGAATCGAATAATCAACGATGTTTGGTCAACTGATATCCACACAGTCAATGTTATCATTGCAACGTGAAATAAACGGGGCAAGAGTCTTCTTGGGATGGGTGGGAGTTAGGTCGGGTTCACTTGGGTGGGTGTTGAGTCGTTCAAGTCTTGACAAAATTCCACGAACTGAAAACAATCGACGGCATTTGATTAAAAATACCGGAAAATGAACTAAACAGGAAAATATGAGTTGACAATTCCAAAAAATGACCTTAAAAATTGCATTTTATTTTTTTTTCGTTACATTATACTTGCAGAATAGACCGAAGAGTGCATAGTATTTATCATACTGTACTCGAACTACCAAAGAAAATATCTCAAGCGAGTACACCGACTGATCCGTTTAGTTCGGTTCAGTTACATAACGATTGAGAGATGATTAAGATCTATGACCATAGATAATATCAAATCGGTGATTTCCGTTCAGTTTGGCCGTGGTCCGTTGGACAGGCGATTTCACTTGTCCGGGGACACGATGATGTGCCGAACAGTGGACGAAAATTAAAAAAAAAAAAAACTAAACTGATTGGATACAGTATGCTCGCTTCTGCAATCGTCTTGCATTTTTTTATATTTTGATTGTAACGAATAATTTATCATAGTTTTACTTTTTTTTTTTGTTTAATAAAAATGTTCCGATTATTGTTCCGTTTCGTGTACTTCAAAGTTGGCAGTTGATTTTTACCGGATTGCGGAAGATAAAAATAATAAATAAACGGGGTCCATAAAAAAATTAAAATAAAAAGTCTTATCGCAATATATAGCAAAGCTTAATTATTGCGTCCGAAACCTGATATAAATACGTAGCTACCGATTCATTCATTGTTATAAGTTATTACTAAAAAAAATTAAAAACTAAAGTGTAATTCAACGCGAGAAATTCAATTTGTTTTTCTTTGCTGGTTCTCTAGTAAATTTATAGGAAATTTTAGGAAACTCGCGGAGAACGGATTACACGCACGAGATCTTCGCAATGAAAATCTGCCGTTTACTTGTGTTCGGTACTTGCTCTTTCAAAAAAATTAATTTTTAAAAATAACGCCTCACTTGGTTTTATTTATGTTAAACCAAAAGTCGTAATCAAATTGATTGCCAGTTTTTTTTTTTTTTTTTTAAATAACAGTACTCTCCCGATAGGATATTTATTGGGAATTATGATACGACGATAATCTGTGTTCGTCAAATTAAATGAAATATACATTTTCGTTTTGATTTTAAATTCAAATTATTATTAACGAACCGAAATGACAGGCCGCAAGTTGCCGGTCGCAGCTTTAAACCATGCGAATATTTTTCACTTGCTTGGTATAGTCCATTTGAATCATTTGCCGAAACATCCAAATACTTTTCCAAAAAGTTGTTATTTTTTTTTTTTTTTAAATTTCTTCGGTTCAGTATTCCAAATTATCAACAATACATGCGTATCTTTTATAATAACATGATAAAAGATACGGATTTTTCACCCGGGGTAATATGTTTGGAAATAAAAAAAAACATTATAATATTATATTTATATAACAGTCATTATTGTTCTTTTTGTCCTTTTCGGTCGGTTAACGATAAAACGCTGAACGGTCTAATGCGAAATCCCCTTTAAAGGAGAGGCAAAATAATGTTTTGTTTTTTTTTTTTTGTCAAAAACGTTAAAACCGGCCGTCCCTTCACTGCCGTAATGACACCGTTGCACGTACACGAAACCCTGTACATCATACCCTTGTCATCCCTTGTATACACTGTTTCTCGCCCCTGTACCGTCCAATCAGACTGACGCGAATAAACCGTCCCGCCGGATTAGAATCTCCGCAGTTTCAGACGTGTCTTAATGTATACCCCGAACCGTCCTCTAGGAGCGAACCGCGCGAGTTAGATTAATCGTTATAATATACACAGGGTGTTTCGAATTCGATGTGACAGTTGTGAAACACCATTATGAAATAATTGTTATTATTATATTTCACCGGCCTACGTGAAAGTTTTTTAGATTTATTTGAAAAAAATAAAAAAAAAAACAATGGCGAGTTATTCGATATATTTACTATGTCATTTTTTTTTTTTTTTCTATTGATTTGAAAACGGGACGTATGAGGGATAACTTTTAAAATTTAAATATAATTTTAAAATGTTTTCAATCTTTATAAATTTACAAAAAATTGTTTTAAACATTTGAAAGGTAACCTCAATGACTTTTAACTAATCCTGTCTAACTAATACTGTCCGATACCTATTTGAATGGAAGGGGTATACGGCCGTTTTTACGGACGCATAATATGACTACGCGGGTACGAGTATGGGAAACTAAATGTCTAATTTTTTTTTAATTGACGAAAAAAACATTCTACAGCCCACGTTCAAAGCTTCAAATAGACTTTTTTTTAAAAAAAAAAAAACCGGATTATTTGAGTTTTCGATTAAAATATTGAAAAAAATGAATTTAATGCAGTAGGAAGTCTTCCGATTTCCAAGTTATAATCAAAGCTAGCTAGGCCATAATCTACGATGCATAAGAGTTTTTCCCGTGAGGCATGTTTTGAGCCGAAAATCGCGCTGGATCCTTAACGGATTTTAGCAGGTTGTTCGCGACACCTCAATAATATCGAAGGAGCTAAACATGTTTTAACAATTTTTTAAATATCGAATAATAATTATTAGACACATTAGCAATTATATAAAGACGATATATTATCATCGAAAACGTATAAGTTCTAGTTTGAATTTGAATACGAAAATATATGTGAAATGCATTTTAGCGGATTATCTACCGATACGTTTATATGGTTCCGCAAATCGGTCACATTGGTCGTTTGAAAAAAATAAATACGATATATTTTTTTAGTGAAATAAACTGTCACGTAAAATATGGAAGACCCTGCAGTGTACGTAAAATGTTATTATTATATTGCAGGCAACGTCCCGCGGGAAGCAATTGGCGTAACGAGAAAACAATTTATTTATGAAAACCTAGGTAGTATCCGAAAGATATTTGAATAAACGCGCATTGCATTTCGAAATATACTATAGTAAGAGACAACGGATCGATCACATGAAAACATTTTATCAGAAAAAAAGTACCTGTATTAATTTATTAATCATTTTTTAAATGTGAACAATATATAAATAATACAGGTGTACAAGAGGCGTATTCAAACATTTAAACAACGAGTATATGTAGTTTTACTGGTTTCGAATGCACTTTAACCTTAAAAAGGTTGATAATGTTTATGCGTGTTTTACAACGGAAATTGTAAAGGAGGCTATATTGGGTAATTTAATTTTTTTCTGTACGCAGCGATACATCGTTTCTTGCAAAAAAAAAAAAAAAAACAATTCTGAGCAGATTATTATTAGTCGTACTTTTTGTTGCCAAAGTAATCCAGACATCAACAAAAATTATACGAAAAAAAAATAGCCAGTTTTTTCCATTCATTGAGAAAACTACGAAGTAAACTAAAACAATTAACTTTTCAATGATTTAACTAGACCGACTATAATTCTACAAGATAAGTTCCTACAACGTTTTTGATTGGGGCACGGTTTTCAATAGAAAAACTGTTTACAGACACAAAAAAAAAAAAAACAACCAATAATACAATTCTCGCTTCGTTCAGAATCTAAAATTGTAAGTTAAATGAATGTTCTAATTTTTCCTGAGGGCGGACGGGTATCAAATTTTGAACCCGATGGACGTGGATTTTATGTAAGTACCATACTCAATAAGTACTCTTTATATATATTGACTCCCAATGGAAGTCTTCTGGTTTTTTTTATACTTATATATGCCACGTAACAGTTTAAGAGGACGCCACATTCGCGTGTGTTTTAAAAATTAAAACACCGAAAAAAAAATCGACGTAGTTGCAAAGTTAATAGTTTTTACTTCTAAGTCGAATAACTCTATGTACGTCAATTGAATATTAAAACTAACATACAATTTGACTAGCCGAACGAAAATTCGCTACATCGTGCGTTTGTAATGCATAGACAGCACCGCATCCGGGTGAGGAGATCAATATCGTTGAAAAATACAATTAAAATTAATATACATTCATATCATGTGTCCCCCCTACCCTGGATTTTCAAAGATGCACGCTATTGGTACACAAATATCGATACTTGTTTTAACAGTCGCAAACCAACGGTATAGGGTTTTAATGTTGACGAGAAAAACCGTTTTGAACTAAACTTAATAAGATTTAACGCTGTAGCGCGGAGTGACTAATACATGGGTATATCGCCTGTCGCAACGAAAAAATGCCGTATCTCACTTTTCACATTATTCAGGGCGAACAAAACAAACTTTCAAATTGAATTTCTCATACCGTTTTCAGTTTTAAAAAATTAACGTCTAAAAATGTGAGTAATTGTAGAATTTACGACGCCATAATATAATAAAATATTATTTTTCATTTTTCTAAAAGAATCATATTTTCCGGATTTTTAAACGGCTACTACTTTAACAAACAGATATTTACTCACTGAAAAGGTCGTAAGTATAAACGGTTATGTTAGTCTATTCGTCGTATCAGTTCGTAAAACCGATTTTTTCGGCTATCAATATTTCAGTACGTTTTAGCTTTTTTTACGAGCGATACCGACGGAAATTCTATATCGGACGGCGGTATTAACTGTATAAAATGTATAAAAACCGAGATACGATATTTTTCGTTGCGACCGGCGATAAAACATTTAGTAGCCATATAATATGCAAGTATACCTCGTTATCTTCGTCGCTGTTATCCGGAAAGGTGCGGTTCAACTGTGCCCTGTCTTCGCCTTGATGTTGATCGTTTAGGAACTCCAGTGATCTACAAGAACGAAAAAAAAAATTGGAAATGATAACGTCATATCATTTTATAATACCGCGCCCCAATCGGCCGTAAAAAGTATTCGCGGTGTTCGCAGAGTGTGTGTGTGTGTGTGTGTGTGTGTGTGTGTGTGTGCTATGTGAGTGTGAATGTATAATATTATCGTAAATGTGTGATACCTACTTGTAATACCACAGTGTCGGTTCGTAAACTCCGCCGCATTTCTTTATGAACGTTTTTCTATGCACTTTTCTGAATTCCCGCAAGTAACACGTCCTCAGATTGGCTATTTTGCGTTTTAAATCTTCCATCGTACAGCTTTTGTTGTACCTGTACCCAAAACCACGCGTCATAGCGCATCAGTCGTCGTTATATTATACGCATACACGAAATATTATCACGAGTTCAATTCGCGTGCGCAAGTCAAATGCTGCGAGCATAATGTATTATTAATAAGAGGATAATAACGGAAATGACGAACATGCTCTAAAATATAAGTATTAACATTATTATTAGCCGGCTTCATTAATACTCATGTTAATCATGCATTACTAGTACTGGGGTGCAGTGCCCCTGTCCGTTTCGCTCGCCAACCCTCTTATTGCATGAACGGTTACGCGTAAATAATATATAAAATAGGCATTAAAAAGAAATAAATATAAACTCCTTTAAATATAATACAGAGTGGTTATTTCATCACGAACCGGCTATTTTTTTTTCGGAAGATTTTAAGTAAACTCGAATACCTTTTTTTTTTTTTTTTTATCGAGAAAATAATTTAATTATTTTAATACGGGATCGTTTAAGCCTTATTTCAACACTATTTTTAATTTGTACCCTTTTGTCCATATACCTCAAATATGTGTACGCTTTTAATTTTCAAATTGTAACCTCCCCCCCCTTTTTAAGACAAATTCGAATGTAGAATAATTTTCAAGAAATTGTGTAGGTATGACACTAATAAAAACCGTATTTACCGTTTATAAGTTATAATTCATAAAAATAATAAGTCCGATATTAGTATTATGCATATGAACATTTCCAGAAAAATATACTAAATATGAATCTGTGATTCAAAAGGGGTTGCTATTTAAAAATCCAAAATAGATGCTCCTTCAGGTATTAGGACTAGGGGTGAAAAATTAAAAATAATGTTTAAATCAAGTCTAAATGATTCTATAACGATATAAACAGAAATAAAATTCACATAAAATCCTCCGAAGACATTAACTGATGGTTCGTGATGAGCGAATCGCCCTGTAGAGAAAATGCAGTAAACATTTATAAAAACATGTTCGTGTGTAAAAAGTAGAACGCATCATGCATTATAATCGCATGCTTTTTTATTTCGTGGTACAAAATCCTTCGGCGTTAACCTTCCATTTTAAATACCGTTCTCACATTACATTATAAAATATGATAAACGATTAATATTTAGTTTAGCTATAATTCCTTTAGGCAACATAAATAAATTATTCAAATATGTGGTGTTTTATTTGTCGGTTTTTTTTTCTTTCAAATTTTCCACAATTATTAATAATATATGTTTAGCATTTACAATTAACAATTTTTAAAAATATGATTCTATCAGTTTTAATTATTGTGTTAATAAAGGGCCCGTGAATAAATTGTTATTTTACTCAAAACATGAATTTCCGGAAAAGCTCTCGTGTCTCGTAGATGTATCCAATTTAGAACAATTTTTCATGGTAACAAACTGTTTAATCGAAATACTCATTGTAATCTTCTCTACACAATGGCACCGTGGAGTTCGATGGAACTCGTTACGAATAGAATATTTGGTAAAAAAAAAAAAAAAAATGAGAAAGGTAGAATATTTAAGGAAAAAGAAATCATTTTGATATTAATAGTTTAAAATTTCGATAATATTTCGTTTAGTTAGTATTTTTTTAAAAATATTAATTTGATAGGCAAATAACAAGCCGTTGAAACTTAACAATTACACTAACCTATTAAAAAATTACGTTATATTAAAATAAGTTAAACATAAAAAAAAAAAAAATAGAAAAATAAAATGTAATAACAATACAAAATAAAAAAATCAATTTAGCTAGAATATTCGCAAAAAAACGACGACAACTGCACAATGATTTCGACGCAAAAGTCCCTTTATAATTATACTATTATTATCATCATTTTATATTTTTAGTGATAATAATAATAATACCCATTATGAAAAGTATCAGAAGACAATATTTCGAAAGAGTTCAATCATATTGCGATAAATCGCGCGCATTTTTTTTTTTTTTTTGTAAATTCCGGTAAAAAAAATCCTTAAATATTTCGTACCATTACGACGTAGGCACACGGGCGTAAATAAGAGGGAGGCTCGGGAGGGCTTAGGCCTCCTGGAGCCATCTCAAATCCTTCCTAAGATATTTCAAATATGCATAAGTGATCTTTGTTGTTGACAAATTATACGTAATTCACAATATTTGAACCCGCGGCAACAGCCGTACATATTATAACGATGCACGAGTGACAGTGTGTACGGTACGTTTTCGTTGGTTTGAACGTTCCAGCGTTCCGTAAACCACGGCCAAATTATAACGGCACGCCGTCCAGACCTCGTCGTTCCGCGACCGCGCGGTTCAATTACCAAAATTCCCGCGGCGTCGCCCAAACGTACGGACATCGTTAATAATTTAATTACGTACGGAATACGCGTGTGTAACAAACCGACGTTTTGTTATCTGCATTTTTCCACTTTCAAACATATTTTTGCGTTTATCAGTACTCGGACCGTTGCGTTTGAAGACACTATTTACGTCCACGCGTGGGCGGGAAGTCTGGAAGGCGTAGCATTCGAGTAATTTAATTTGAACACTGAAAGCAACGACAGTTTTTTTTTTGTATTTTACAAAAACGCGGTTCTGAGCTCTCGGTAAACTAGTGCGGTAAGAGCGTTCGGGAACGTAGACGAATTCCGCGTATTTCAAGATACGGCGTGACAAAACCGGAGCATTTCTGCTGGCCGAAAACGGAATCCGTATAGAAAACGAACTAAACTACAACTAAAACGAATTATTATTCACTGCATTTACAATGTACAAGCCGCGTCGTATATTTTTGTTTTTGCATTCTCGTTTCGCCGTAATATATTGCAGTTGAATTATTTCCAACACTTTATTAGCTCCGATTGCTTCGAACATTTCACAATTTAGCGGACAACTACGCGCCGCAGTTTCGGACGACAATACGGATAAAATAAAAACCCAATGATGAACCAAAAATGTTTGTTTTTTTTTTCGAAGGCGCAACTTTGTATTTTATTTGTTTGGGTGTGACAATGCCATTGAATTTCAAGTACGGTTTTAAGTGAAAAACGCAATTTGTATTATTTGTTCAGTTTATTCAATCATCAGAACGCAATAAAGAACAAAAATAAAGACCTCGGAACATTAACCAGGTATCTCCGTATTATGGTGAAAATCACCTTTTGCACATGAGTTACGGAGAAAAAAATTGCATGTCCACTGGTAAAAAATTATTAACAACTTTAAAAATCTTAAGTTAATTAAATAATTATTTTTAAATAGCATTCTTCATATCAAATACATTACTTTTATTTGTCGGAAATACCTACGTATATTATCTTACCGCGCAACAACAAGATAACTTCGATTTAAATTTTTTAATTAGAAAATTAGATTTTCACCCAAACCGCCGAGGGAATAATTGTATTAGGACTTTAATAAGAACATATTATATTTTCTAAAGGTTTGAAACAAAATTTTGATTATTTAAAATTGTTTTGTTCATCCTGAAAAAATGTAAACACAAGAGATATTCGGTTGTTGTTCTAAGGTATTATCCTACTTAATGTTATAAACGTGAAAGTTTGTGAGGATTTATGGATGGATGGATCCAGTTTGTTGTTCTTTCACGCAACAACAACCGAACGGATTTTGATGCATTTTGGTATACACACAGACGTGACCTCGGAAAAAAAACATAGGCTACTTTTTGTCATGAAAATAAAACGTGAAAGAGATGAAATAGATGAAAGGCTGTGAAAGGTTTTCGGGTATTTTCGGCACGAAAATGTAATTATTTAAGATTGAATTATGGATAACCATAGTAACACGGATAAAATGATAAAATAATAACAAGAAATAAAAATGCGGTAACGACTCGAGGTAAAGAGTCTAACCTAACCGTCTACCGGTACCTGTTATCGGCTTGAAATAGGACGGGGCCACCTTGGTAACATAAACGAAAAAAATAAACGAAAAAAAACCATGCGCTGCACAAGGCGGGCAAGTGAAAAGTGAAAACGCGCGGAACGTCGTCTCCGAATTTCCGCATTTTCTACTCGGTGTGTCCGGGGATCGGCTGTCCGGAGTCGTACCGTAGGGCGTTGCATGGTTTCGGGCCGTGAATAAAACAATCGCACGAAACGTTGGCCGACGTGACGGTTCCGGCGCGGCTCCACACGCCCGCCGAGACATCCTCATTCGCCGCCCGCCCGACGTCATTCCCCCCGCGGAACCCGCCGACCCGACGGATGTTCAACGAAACAACTAAAACCGACCGCACGCATGTTAGACGGATTTATCGTTGAAAAAAATTTCGATCCGATTTCGCGTCGATCGGTATTTCGGGTAAACGGTACAGCGCGGTTATAGTCGCGCAGTTGTGTTTACGATTCTGAAACCTCAATAACCCCGACCGTCTCGTGGGAAATCGGCCGTGAAAGCGCTACGCACTCGCGCAGATAAAATTTCAACGCGCGCCCGCAATGCCGGGGAATTCGCGTTATCTGTATGCGGTACGACGGCGCGCGGGCGACGGCGGGAGAAAACCGTACGCCGCGCGATCGGATGGAAAACACGTCGTTGGGTAAACATCAACGCGCCGTTGTTTCGTCGATTTGTCAACGTGTCCGTCAACGACACGACGACGCCGGGCACGCCGATACCGCGCCATCGAATTCGCTGTTTTTCCGCGGGGCGTTTGCGGGCGCGCGCGTCCGTCTGGAAGGCGCGTCCCGGGCGTCGTATAAATGCGTTCGCCCCCGCGACGCCGAAAACGACACATTCGGCGGGATGACGAACGACGGGACGCACGGGGGGGGGNGGGGGGGGGGGGGCGAACTTTCTCGCGTACAATAACGGCGGTGTGGAAAACTCGGTTCGAGACGGACGATCGAACGGCGGGTACCCGTTATTTAACGTCGGAAAATCGACGTCGTTCCGCGCAGGCGACAAAAAAAAAAAACTGTTCGAAACCGTCCGACCGATTAGCCGTTCGTCCGGTTTTTTCCCGAGGTTTCCCAATCGTCGCGAAAAGCGAAACTACGTCGGATCCCCGTCAACGCACCGACTAGATTCGAAACGAAACAAAAAAAAGGAATTTCGTCGAATAACGAGGTGATAGTGCAGTAGACGGTCACTATCGAATGTAAAATTACGTAAACTCGTTTAATTCGTATCTGCGCGACAAAAATAAAGGAAAAAACACGTACCGCGGTGAAACCGAATACGCATTCCTCTAGCGAGGGAGCTATTGTTTTTTTTAACCAAGACGTTAATTCTTTTTTTCTTCTAGGCTGCGGACACGTTTTTTCCGGGTAAACTTGCCCCGATTTTTACGTGTAGCGACTTTTCCGAAAACTCGAGTTGTCTGGATGGCACTTTAAAGAAATCGTTTTTATCATTTTCGACGCCATTTTTTAAATAAAAGCACTCAAGTGGGAAAAACCGTAGGGCATCGTACAATTTCACGATTTCATTATTTTGTAAAAACACGGACGACGTTGTCTACCGGAAAAAATAATTTAATCGAAAAACCCCACAATCGCGCCTTTTTTCGTTACCTTTTTGATTTACTCCATCGCCAAAACTTTCGAGCCACTTTTGAGTTTTTAAAGAATTTTAATTTTTGTTTTTTTGTTTTTTTGCTGTAATTCGGTCATAACTACACGTATAGACTTGAAACTTGGTAACATTACTTATATCGGACTTTACCTAGACGTGGTAAAATTTTAAAAATCATCGGACGACTTTTTTTTTTTTTTTTTTTTTTTTTTACGAGCATTCAAAATTTTAATTTTAATAAAAACGCGAAAATATGCACCGCCGTCATTGTATAAGTAAAAGAAATAGCTAAAATACGAAATGATCGAAATTCGTTGCATCACGATTGTTATTTGGCCGAAGAAAAACTTCGTTGTATCGATTCGTGCAAAGATTCTCGACCTTTTGGGATCCAGACCGCCTTTTAACTATCGCCCGTAGATCACCACTGTATAATTGGAATATACACACGAATGTGTACAGCATGCGCCGTGGAATTATCGAAAACATTCGCGCCCCCCCTTGAAATACTGTCGCGCCTCGCCGTGGAGGCACGCCCCTCAGGTTGAGGGCAAGTGGATCAACCAAACATTCGGTTTTTCGTTAAATCGCGAGAGGACGACAGTCTCGTCGGTCACACCGAGATTTTCGCCGTGTCCGCGAGCCGACTGCGCACCGTGAAAGACGAGTCGAGGGGTCCTCCGCGTCCGCCGCCCTCGCGTACCTCGCGCCCGTCCCTCGAAGTCGGCGGCCGCGCGGCAGTACGCGGGAGACGCGCGCGGACGGAAACGCAACGAGTAACGTTCGCGGCCGGCGCGATACATTATCGTAAGCCCGCGCGGCGGACGGCCGTCATCGATTTTCGGCGACGGGGATGGTGGAGGGAGGGAGGGGGGTGGGGTGGTGGGGTGGTGGTGGTTGGCGACGGAAATCGGCGGTGCGCGCACAGCGACAGCGTGTCCGTCCGCGCGCGCGACAACGGCGGTGCGAATGTGCGCGCGGTGCCCCGGGTGCGGACGACGGGGAAAACGGACGCGGTTCTCGAAAGAACGGCGGCCACGGCCGCGGACGCGCGCACGGACCGCGCGAAGGGCGGAAAAATCGTTAGCGCCGGCGCGCCGGCCGTCCGTTACGTCACGCGACACCACAACGTGCAGGACCGTCCGGATATTGGCGATTACGATTACCGGATACGGAACGCGGTGTTTTAAACGCCCGGGCGGCCGTTTTTTGTGCGAGTCGCCGCGCGAAAATCGGACGGCCCTGCGTGACAAACAGCCGACGGGGTGTAGGGCCCCGTCGTCGTCGTCGTCGTCGGTTTCGGACGCGGGAATAGGTGTCCGGGGCAAGGCGGCGCGCCGGTAATCGGTTGCCGGCGGCTTTTTCCCCGTGTACTCGGGGTATGTTTTGCGGAACGAACGGTGGGGGGGGGAGGAGGAGGAACGGTCGGCGGTTAATGCGCGACGCCCGAAAGTTCGGGATTTCTCCTTTCCCACGTCCAAACCCTGCGTTTTATCGATATTTGTTCCCGGTACATTTGTCTTCGAACGTAAAAACAGGCGGCTTCACCGTTTTCGGTCAAAATACACCTTTCCTGTTACAATATTTACGATTAAAGACCGGATGTACACGCGTTTGAAAGTTTTAAACGTGCACTTAAAAAGTACAAAATACGCAAAATTGTTTTTGACAATCACGACCGTTCATTCGTTGTAAAATCATAAAACCAAAACATTATTGATGGAAAAAAAGACGTGGACGCGTTGGCATTGTGTAGTGACGAACACAATGTTATGTAAAATGGACATGGTTTCATAATGCGTTGACAATTGCCGAATGTACACTCCGAACCACAGCGGTCAAAACTGTCAAGTCCGTAAAGTACGTTAACATAATGTAGATGAGATAAAAATATACGACAGGAAAACCAGTATGTAATTGAATCGGACGCCTACCTACCACCAACCAGTGTGCGGAAACGTAATGTTTTATTATTTTTAAAAATACTTTCAATGTTTGTGTTGTGGAACAAATTAATGTATATAATAACTGTATACACGATTGAAAAAAAAAACGAATCAAAACATTAAAATGTATACGTAATACGCGAAAACGTGCGTTTTCAAAACACGGGAAACGAAAATTTGCAATATTATTTATTTAAGTGTGATCGACGCGAATCCATTCACTGCGTGTAATCGCTCATAAAAATACCGAACACGGATTCTGCGCGAAATCCGGTCCTTATTTATCATCGTATATTACAATATATACGATAGTTATTGATTGGCTAATTTATACCGATTCATTTCACGATTTTTTTATCGAACTCAATGGAAATTAGAAGTAGCGACAAAGTAAATAAAACTCAACGCGTAAAAATTAGAAGTGACAACATAATAGAAAAAAATAATATCGTAATTCAAAAAAATGACAACGAACTCGAATAAACCGTTATGGATTTTTTAAACAAACATCATCGCGTAATTGTAAAAATAAAATTGAATTCACGTGCATGTACTCGATACTCAGATATTCATTAGTCATCGAACCGATTGCAAATTATTTTACTGATTTCATTCGCCTTGTGCGACACACACACACGATAACACGTTCCGTTTCGTTACAATTCAGTTTATTTGTATTATTCGTTCACGGTACCTAAGTTATGCGTGCAGCGTGGATATGCGCAATCGTTTTGATCGTTGAAAATCGCATTTTTTGCGCGTTTTGATTCACAGACATTCTCATAAGTGTGTACGTTGTTAGTGTAATGTTCGAGGAAACTGTACTGGCCGAGAACGGAAGGGCGGGCGGGTTTCGATCGAACAGCGACACCGGCCGAAGTGTAAAAGTGTGAACCGGTACCTTTTGGCCGAAAAATGGGCCGCCCGTAACAATACACACGCACACACACACACACACACACACGACACTCCAACCAGACAATTCTCATTGGCATAAGCGCGCGCAGACTTCCCGGCCGGACGCGGCCAAATCTCGTCTGACGCGCCCGCCCGCCGCAAACGGAATTATTATCGAAATTTCCCGTAGGAACCGCGAAAGCGATCCGACAAACGCAAACGGCGTTCTTTCTGTCGTTACGACCGTTCGCGCGATTCGTCACGATCAATAACGCGGATTCAAGGAAACATTAACAAATACAACGGTTAAAAAGACACACGACGCGCGTGAAATACGCACCAAACGTACAATGTGGCATTTACAATATTGTCGATTAGTGTTAACCGAAACGACGCTCAGATTCGAAAATAAATGCAAATGTTTATTAATTGTTCTCAGACAAATGTCGGCGTTTTGTCATACGCCCACGTGTCATTTAGTATGTCGCGTTACTTCGTAAAAATTACTTTTCGTTACGATTGCGTTAACTCGAACGAAATGAAATGGAATCACTACCGCGTTACCGAAAAAGTAATAATCCGAGTAAATTATTTACTATAACACTGTGTTGCCGTGAAAACAGAGACGAAAGTAGACGAAATTAACCGGCTAAGGTAACGTAATGAAAAATAGAGACACCTATTCCAAAACCTGTTTTAACCAGACCTGTTAACCGACAAAGTTTGAGTTTTCAATACACGGCTAAAAAATGGCTAAAACGTTTCGAACATTTTACCGCGAACGAAACGAAAAAAAGGAAATATAAATTTTCTGTCCGAATTTCAAGTCTCTGCGGACACTTTGAACCGAACCGCGATGAAAAACAAAATTGAAAATAATAAATTACGTAAATTTGCCTACGTTTTTGTTCCCCGGCTATTTTGAAAACCACTTGGATAATCAAGGAATCATCATTCCAAAGTACCATTTCTTTCGGAAAAGCTATTACGGAAGAGACGATCGGAGCGAGATTTCTGCATGCAGCAAAGTTGTTTACAGATTAAAAAATAAACATCGAGGCGAAACCAATACGTTCCTCGCGTCGTCCGGAATATCGAAAAGAAAAACCCCTCCTAAAATCGTGTCTCCGATCCGGCGCCGATAATATTGTAAACAACGGCCACTAGAGTTCCGTGACGCGCGTGAAAATTATTGTCATTACAAAGGTCGTCCGCAGCTGCCGCCACCCACGTATCGCGGAGCGCGACGCCGATCGTACGCCCCACACATCGCGTTTACCGTCCGCCCCACCCGACCCCCGTCGCATCCCTGCACGACTACCGCGGTAACGGTTACGATAATACACCGCGTTACGTGTCTAATAATAACGGCAACATCAACAGCAATAATAACAATAATAATAATAATAATAATATCAATAGGTACGAATATATTATTGCGCATTACGTTTTGACCAGCTGCAACAGCGACTCGTACGCCTCGGTTTTCTTTTCTTTGTTCTTGTAGTCGGGGTCCTTGATCCTCCACAAGCACGTGCACGACTTGTACTCTTCGATCAGCTCCAATATGAGCTTCCTCTCCATGGCCACGATCATCGGTTACCGGGTCGGTATTCACCGCGAATCCGACCGACCGGCCGTGGCGTGTTGCGCGTTGCCCACCGTACGCGCGTCGCAGCCGTCGCCGCCGTGGTTGCCGTATCCGTCGGGTCGCGAAAACACAGACGGGCCAACGGCGACGGATCGTGCGACTGTACCGACCCGCGACGACACGACCGAACGGCGACGCAACGTCAGTGTCGCGGCGGTCAGACGGTCACGTGCGCGCGTCGAACACTGCTACCACCGTCGCCGGCGACAACGACGCGACGACAATACGACGATCGGTCGGCCACCGATTTGTCGTCGACATGCGGTTGGCCAACCTGCCGGCCGCGACACGCGTGGTGTGCACCGGCCCCCCCCCGCCAGCCCGCGCGCGAGTCGCCATCGTATTCGCGCGTGTTCCGCGATCGACCGCAAGTTTCGCGCAGATTACCCGTTATCTGTGTTAACCGTGTTGTGTCTACGGCCGTGCGCGGTCGCGTTCGAAAACATTACCGACGACAATTTACGTATTCAACGCGATAACAATACCATTACCAAATATTGTTACCGCGATAATCGTCCACCGCCGACGTCACCGCGGCGGATCGCGATTATTACACCCGACGCTATCCGCGGTCCGTGACTTACGGATTCACGGGGAGTGGTCCAAAAGACACCGATATATATCGTTTCAATAAACCGCCGTTTGAAAACGAAAAATGCATCTATCAATCGATACATTTGAAATACATGATATGAATGTTCAGGGCCCCCGTCCCTCTAGAAAAATGTTGAAAACCCGCCAAAGAGCAAGTCGATACCCGCGTGATTTCAAAAGCCGCGCCGATAGGTAATGTCATATCGTCATTGCCGTTCACGTTCTATCCTTTATCTACTTCGGTTACGGTGCTTGTTTTGCCACTGGGTCTCCGGCGTGATCGCGTTGGCATCACACGTTGATTCTTGTCGTGGATATCGTTGATAACTTTTCATTAAAACGGCCGCGTAACAGCATGCTATTCTCTGAATGATCCACGCCCAAATTCTCAAATCCATCAAGGAATCAAGCGTGGAAATAGGACAGGGTCTATTCACGAAATCCAGTCATCCAGCAGCGGACCCATTACCGTATCTATCGTCACAGCTCCCGGCAGACTATCCACGCCAAAACGAGTGTCGTATACGGCGTGCTGCATTCTGAGTTCTGTTTTCTGTAATTGTCCATCGTGTTAGTAAGAAACGAGTTCCTTTTCAAATATAGGAACGAGGAACGTGAAAGAATACAGTGTAGTGCCTAGGCCTTCCTTACGGGGGAGGGGTATATGTTTTTATTCGTTCTTAAATCCGAAAATTCCTTAAAAAAAATTACGTCACAGCTATAAAACTTAAATTAATATTAATAGTCTTGAATTGGAGTCTTCTTTAGTACATAAAAATAAGAAAATATTTTATCTGTATATTAAATAAAAGAGAAAGCTGACTAATCTATACACGCACAACTTAAACCACTGGACGGGGATCGGGTTGAAATACGGTATACATATAGCTATTATGATGTAGGCATCCGCTAAAAATAATTTTTGAATATTCAACCCCTAAAAAAGGTAAAATAGGGAATTTATGTATCTGTTTTTAGTACGAATATATTATTATTTATTTATTTATTTATTTTTATTTCACCCTGGGTTACCTTGGTGATACGGATGAAATAATAAAAAAATTGGACGGGACACAACTGGTCACAACTATTTTCTGTTTCGACAAACACACAATGAACAAGTAAATTATGAACTATGAATTATGTATTATGATTGTTAAGTAGATAAGTTCGAAAAACGTTAAAAGATATTTGTTAGATGTGGACACAGCTTTAGATTAACATGAAATATTTATATTATATTTTTAGATTATGAGTGAAATAATGCATTGGGTTAACTATCATGTGTGTGTTTTTTTTTTTTTTTTTTTTTTTTTTTTTTTGCAACGACTGGATTGTATAGGCACATTTTTGTAGAAATTTTGATCTAGTTGAATTTTGATTTTCCTTGTAGTTTTCCTAATAAATTGGATATTTGGTACCTATAATTGTTGTTGATTTCTGGATTTCCTTGGTATTTTGTCTCATTTTGCCAAACAATAAGAGAAAAACACGATTGATAATATTCTGCTTAAAATCATTTTTTTTTATTAGCAATGGTTTATCGTTGCGTACAGATATAAATTAAAATACTCTATATTGTATATCTTCACTTCCAATTTATTCAGGTGGTATCAGTCATTTTTTTACTTGTTTCAAAAAAAAAAAGTGTCGATATTTCGTCCTTAAATAATATGGTCAGTCTACAGTACCTGATGTTTTTAGTCCGAGCATTGCTCGATAGTTTTCATTCACCTACCCGGGGCAAATATTTGCTTTTGAAATATGAATATTCGTGTTCTCGTTGAAACATCTGTCGACGACACATGGCTGATAATAATTATTCTCAGCAGTGCTCGCGATCGAAATTCCATCGTCCAAAGGGTACATAAATTATAATATATTCATACTAACACATTATATTACTAGGTATACTGGCATTATTTCGCGGACAGTATGCAAATGTACGTCTGAACGTGTGAGCCGAGATCGGACTCGACCAGCACACGTTTTGACCATTTTCGCATTGTATAATACCATTATCCCTATCTATAGTAATACTGCAATATTTAAAACTATACATTTCAACGGTATAAGAAACATAATATTATAAGAGTTATAGTGCGTTAAAAACATACACGTATTTATCAATCTAGATGGAATATTTAACATAAAAAAAGCATTAATTTAGCATGAATATTTAGTATAAAGTAGGTGGAATTTCATCTCAAAGACTAAAAATTTTTGAAACAATGAACTAGAATTAATACATAGTTTTATTAGTTTTATCATTAAAGAAGACAAGATGTTTTAAGTTCAGTTGTAGTAGTTGTGTAATCATTATTCACAATTCATTAAAAAAAAATACAGAATAATACCACGAGATAAAAAAAAAAGGAGTGTTTTAGTTGGCTGTCCTCGGAATGCAAAGTTCTTCTCTTTCACACTTCTGTCTATAATATATCAGTCCATCTCGTGGTTCATTCGGACCGACTTCGCCTCCCAGTTCTTCGGGCGAATATTATATTCCATTTAATTCTATGATTATAAATGTAGGGTACGGAGAAAAAACCAAAAAAGGCACTTATAATTGCGATAAAAAAAAAACAAGTTTATAATTTCACAACGTAACAAATTTTTTGAAGAATCGAAAATTACGGATTCAATGAATTGTTAAACATTGAAATGCAGTAACCATAACACAATAATATGTTATGTTAAATTATTACCCACGGCTATAGAAGTAAATTAACCCGACACCCGTCCAGTTATCAGTTGAACCCGTTTTTTTGAATAAGCCTAAACTTCTGGCGCTCATTACTTTGTAGTAATTTGGTTTTTTCGCCAGTTAAATCGCACAAAAGATACAGTACACCAATACAAATTGTTCGATACCAATATTACCATTTTGGGAAAAAATGATTCATTCAGTTTCTCCCTGTACCCTTTAAATATAAAATAAATAACGCTTAGTGCTTATGCATACAATTTAATATCGGTTCCTATACCTAGCAACAAATCGATAAATAAATAATATAATACAAAATTGTTTCAATCCACCTGCCTGTAAATCACTTGAATTCCCGAGTTTGAAGTCAATAGGTCCAGAGGAAACCGTTAGAAGTGTTCAGAAAGAGCGAAAAAAAGATTTAAATTATACATATGTGTATATATAACGGACACAAAATATTATAAAGTGCAATAGNATGATGTTATTTTATTATAAAAAAATATTTAAATACATTGGCGAGGTTTTTTTTTTCTGTTTAACACGTGAATTATGTCATGTGATCGATACATCAATATTTATTCAAATAGAATATTATATAAACTGAGTCTTTCGAATCATCATATAAAACACGGACAACCGAGCTGAAGGAAACCATCGTTTTGTAAAACACGATATTTTTTCGTCCTTAATAATATTATGTTGCCAATAGAAAACCTCGCAAAGTTCGAACTCGGTTCAAATTCGTAATGTTTTTTTTTCGTTAAACTCGTATGTCATATTGTCATTCCATGAACTTACATACATCATCGTCAATATCACAGTAGGTATATTTTTGTATGAAAATCATATTTCGTCGGAAAACTGTGCAAATAATAAAATGTATGTATAAATAACCTTGCCGATCCGTAAATAAGCAATAAAGTCAAGTCACCGAACTAATCGCTTTGAACGGCTTTCCTCGTGTGAACATTCACACGATAACAGAAGCATGTTTTAGTCGTCCATGTTAAATTTTTCAGACTTACATTTGTCTTCTCGTATCGCGAAAAATGTTACAGACTGCAAGTTTGTCTTCTTCTTTTATACTAACTGACATAGGTATCTACTCTATAAAAGTTTTTGCCGCGATAACTACGCTCGCCCATAATTAACTCTTTTCAGTTTTTAACTAAAACGTTTTAAAATTGTCTTCAATAACAACAGTTCTCTATACATATTGCAAGTAAAAACTACAAACAAAATGTTTTTTTTTTTATTATTATTATTATTTTTCGTTTTTCGTAATCGATGATGGTTGCACGTAATAATATTATTACGATATAGGTCTATTAAATTTTATAATTTTAAAACTGTTAAAATATACCCGCAATAAAATTCCAGTAGTAAATATTGACTAGCCCCCGGGGCCCGGTCAAATATCTCGAAGGCAATAATCACTAGCACATCGGCTCACTTACTTAATATTATAATAATATTCCGGCGTGGTACCGATATTTCGCATAACCTGCAGAAGACGTTTAAATATATTATAGGGGGAGGCATCCCCGACATGTCAAATCCATGTGTTCAACTGCAGCTGACGATAGCAGCCGGAGGGGATTTCCACAATATAACATAGTATAGTTAATGTACGCTTTTCGACGTTTTAAAATTACCTAATATACTTAAGTTTAAATACCTATCCGTATAAAATATAAAATAAAATTTAAAATGTGCAGATTATTAGATCGGATCGACATTTTAAGAAATGGACTGTCCGATAGAAATACTGTAAACCGTATGAATCGGACGGACCCGATCGGAACGCTGTAAATCCCTAAACATAAAAGACGGGGAAATTAAAATAATCGATGGATCTGTTAAAAAGTTGTTGGTTATCAATAAATATCCAGATTTCTTTGGAAAATTAAACATGATTAACTGAATGCAATATTTGTCCTATAATATCAACTATAATCGGCATATATATCGCTGACATAAATTTAAATCTCAGCAAATTAAAACAAAAAGAACCGATAAGAGTTATTTACCATATACTCGGTTAATTGAACGCTGCATTCGGTAGAAATTACATAAAAATAAATATTATTATCAAACTGTTGAGTTTTTAGAATGTCTGTTCTCATTTTTTATTGACCGTCACATAATTACAAAAGACGCTATAAAAACGACAATTGCACAGTACTGGGTTTGTTAATCTTTATACATCTGGCTATATATTTATACACTTTTTTCCGATACTTAACACCTACTGAATTTTAAATGCCCGTCGTGCTCTGCACGTTATCGTCCACCTTTCTAACGGCAATCCGATTATCTATACCCGCAAAGGTAACCTATACCAAATGACTACATAATAATATAGAATATTGTGACTAATGCCGAAATAAAACATCTTTTCGGCGAATAGTATATAATCACTTAAAAGGAAACTAATTGACTGCCCATGGCACGCACAAAAATCGAATTGCAATATAATAGACGCTCTTAAATGGAAATCGAAAGGTAAAAGACTACAGTAAAAAAGGATAGATAAATACGCAAAACCATGATATCCCAGATACTTTATTCGATAATTCGAAAGAAACGGCAAGCAATAAGATAAAGCTCCTTCGCCTTCAATATATCCAGGTACACGTTTTTATGCGATGATCCCGCGATAGGAATTAATGTACACTTCTGCCCTTTCCACTTATGTGCTGCACATTAATTATAATTTACTTTCTGAAACCAAATGATAACTAGTTCGAAAGATTGAATTATGATTAAACCTGGCATTATATTCGTTCTTACTTCTTGGGTGTTGTTATAGTTTTTGGTGTACGGCGGTATATACGTGACTCTCGGTATCATTTACGGGTGTGCAGCCTTATACAAGTAAAACACGGCGGTAGTTTTGCCCAGAACACGCTTCCATGGGATAACCTGATTATCACGGGCCACCCGAAAACTGCACTTGCACTCTCCGTGTCGTTATTATAATATACTGAGTGACGTGTGTATATCTACAAATAGTAAAAATACAATATATACAAATAAAACGTGACACCCTCAGAAAAAAAAAAGAAAAACGGAATTTCATTTAATTTTATCCTTGCAGGACGTACGTTTTGACCGACTTAAAAATATTATGTCCGTTTTAGCATTTTATTGTACTTTCAACCCTTTTTATGACACGTTTGTCATCGACAATAACAAAATATTGTATCATTATATTGCATTGAATTTACACACATCAGACTACGTAATTTACAAAATCAGAATGCCCATTCAGTGTTCTACGAGTCCCGCTGTGCATCCCATACCCCAATGTCGAAACACCGTCCCCTTACAAAATTATGTACAACATGTTTTACAACATAATTATTGGATATTCAGGATGTATCAGCAGTTATAATATATTATGATTTGCCGTATACATTACCGGCCTATTGTCTACAGATACTTTTTCGAACATCTCAAAATGAAAATTTAACAGAAAATGTATCACCAATATAATAATATTGTCATAAACTTTTACCATATCATTTCGACCAATATTGCAGGTTATAAGTTACAAATAGACAAGAAATTTATCTAAACTTTTTATTTTTTTCCTTCTTATACCACGAATACAATCCTAAAGTTTTTGCTATCATTACCGTACATTTCGCCAGCTGTCTTTATCCTAAACTGTCACTTTCTACTTTTCAACTGTTAGGCTTTCCAAAATATTTTCTACCACTTTAAATCATTTTTCTCTAGGTCTTCCGCTAGGTCTTTTCTCTTGAAGTTTTGACTCCATAGCTCTTCTAACTATCTCGTCTTCACCGCTTCTCGTTATTATAACCTAACAATCAAATCCTAAAAAAAACTTTCAAATGAATTTAAAAAACGTTTAAACTCACTCGCCGCGCAATTCGAAAATAATTATCTGACATAGGTATAAACAGTAAAAGTTCGGGAAATTAGAGAAAAATAGGTGACAAATTGGTGAGGTAATATAAGGTAAGTTAAATGTATATCTGTTAGTAACAAAAAATCATTGCTAACAAAAACATAATTCTGAGCGGAGTTCAGTTGATAGTATTGCTTTTTCAATAATATATATACCGTATTATGGTAAAATAATTGTATAAGTATTCTGTAATTTCTTTAATAATATTTGTTTAATATTGTACCTATTATCTCGTTTTTCCTAAGGTTCTCCCATAGTTTTTTTGAATTTTGAATTTGTTGGGAAACTTCTGAAAAATCGAAAAACCACCTCTTTAAAGTACCCAGGCAGATTTCCTTTTAAAAAAAAGTGCTATTATTGTAAATCGGAGCAAAATTGCTGGTAGAAAAGTTAAACAAAGATTGAAAAAAAAAATAACATCTTTGGAAAACCAAAATCTTCTTGCTCTACTCAGAATCTAAAATGTCATATTTAATATTGAGACAATTATAATAAATAATGTATATTGTAATTTTATTTCTAATTACTATACATAATAATTCAAATTGAAAATAGCTGGAAGGTATAGAATTTAAAGAAATTTAGTTTATACTTGAAACACGTATACCGAAGCTAACGATAATATATCAAAGGTAATATATGGCAAAGTATACCAACAAAAACCCTCCATCAACTGTGTGTAAAAACCTTGTCAAGAAAAAAAAAACTCAAGTTAGATAAAATTGTAATACCAAAAAGAGGCTAAGTAATTCCTTAAATTCATTAGTATAGAAATTGTATATAATTGTTTGTAATTTGATGATGTGCGATAATTTAATAGAAAAAATTTAACTTAACTTGGTGGAATGGCGGCTACTTATATTTTCAAGTACAAATAAAAATACAATGCCGACATAAATAATTATATGCCCATTTTATAATTAATTAATTTAAGTACATACTATGAATAGTCGCCAAGCTAAGTTAAATTATTTGTTTCAAATTACAAATACAAACAATTTTAAACAATGTCTATAATAATAAATTTAAGAAATTATTTAAACAATTTTTGATATCACAACAGAAAACCTTTGAAATAATGAACTAGAATTATTACATAATTTTATCATTAAAGAAGACAAGTAAAACATCTTGTCTTCTTTAATGATAAATATGATGTATATATAACGGACACAAAATATTATAAAGTGCAATAGACACTACTTTCGATTTTTGGAAAAAATTCGAAAAACCGCATTAAATATGATGTTATTTTATTATAAAAAAATATTTAAATACATTGGCGAGGTTTTTTTTTTCTGTTTAACACGTGAATTATGTCATGTGATCGATACAAAAATCACAAAATAAATCCATGAAGATAGTTTAGGTTAGAAATCACTATATATACTTATATATACTAAGCATGTGCCTTTGGGAGTTTTCAACTTTAACTCTATTTCTATCCATCGTTATGCTCAAATTTTATTTTTTTACGGGAAATAGTAAATTTTAAATACCCCTACAGAGTAAAATATAATATGTCTCTATCTACCATAACTATTTTAGATCAATTGTAAAAAAAAATAATAATGAAATATTGTAGGTAACGGCAACAAGTTGGCTGGGTGAAAATTCGATTCCAGTGACCGAACTCTACTGCTAACTGGTATTTATTGATTTATTTACCCGCTGAAATTCGATTTTAACACAATTTAGGCACGTCGTATAATAAATAATTACTATTAGCACTTATAATATTATTTATCTCAGCAGCATATAATAGATACATGACAATAGTTTGCTGTCGAAAGACTTTCCTTTTTTTTTTTTTTTTTTTGAAATCCATATTTATACAGTGTTTTTGCTTATTGTAAAATACTCACAAACAAAAACCACACACACAACTATTTTAATAGTTGTGTTTTGACACAAACAAAATTAAAATACAATTATGTGTATACGTAATAATTATTTATAATGAACGTGTCTGATTATAGTAGTTGATAATAGTCTAAATGCTTGTTTCTTTTTGCAGAACCTGTTACGGAGGTCGTCGCTAATGTGAACTGTATTTTTTTAATTTTTTTTTACTCCGTATACACTCATTTTCTGTGGACCCCGTTATATTATTGATTATTTATGAGTATGACATCAACTCATATTCAGTACCTACCCAGTGGAACATAATTTAATGTTTTATACGTAATATTGATAATATGATTGTTTGGGTAAATTATATGTTAAACCGTACGATATACGAACCGGCATGTTTAATCTTTCAAATTACAAATCGTCTATAACAGTGGTTTCCATCCGAAGGGGAATTATTTAGATACTGCACTTGGGAATAATGTGATGCTGAAACAACGAGAAGTTTATTATTAAAATACTCATGCTATATTACAATTTAGTAATATCGAAAACAATAAATTAATTTCAGTTGTATAATTCATAGTAGTTATTTTTTAAAATATATTTATACGGCTCACTAAAAAAAAAAAAAAAAAAAGGTCGTCTAAACTTTAATAGTCCAATCTGTTTTAAGGACCAAAGGGGGTAAATATATCTCTCTAGTCTATATAGTTATAATAATTCGTAAATAGGTATAGCATAATATTAAAACGTTTGGATTCTGGTCAGCTGAGATATTCATTTATGTTTTTTGATTTAAACTACCTCATTTAGTATATTATAATATAATATTTATATGATCACTGTTCCGAGTGCTATGATTGATTCAGCATTGGCTGTGCGTTTTAACGCTTTCTGTTTTTCGATTTCATCAATATTTTAAAATTTTCTCATTGAAATATAAATAATATTATATTATAGCTTATTGGTCAATGTTTTTAAAATCGCATTAATATTAATATTAATTCGGCCAACTGAGAGATCCAATCAATTTTCTCAACTCAACACGTCGAAAAGTATTACTCGCATTAATTATCTCAATCTAACCAACAGGCGGTTATGACAAAATTATGTAACTTAGAACTTTTTAGTTTTTTTTTTTTTTTTTTTTTTTTATCGGTATAGTGACTGTATACAACGTTTGCAATGTACAGCAAATACGACATTTAATATACACAGTTAAGAAGGAGCCATACCCGCGTTTACCGTAATGGTTAAACCCAACCAATCAGTCTTGATAGCATACCGAAATCACGTTACTTTGAAAGTCATAACACAACTTGTTGTGGCGCATTTAGGTTGAATGAGAATTAAAACACAAATAATGTCAATTGTACACAGTTACAAAAAACATTATTTTAAAATCTAAAATTCAAAAAAAGATAATGACATATTATATTCCTGTCAAAAGTTTTTTTCCAAAAAATTGCCATACAAACAAGTACTTTGTTATTTGTGTTTTAACTCTATAATTTCAACCTGAGATGGTTAACTGTGAACATTAAATGTCGCATTTGCAACTTGCGGTCGTGTTATAGTCGCTATAATGATAAAAAAAAACACCAATTTATCCTTATCGCTTGACCCGCACCCATTTTTTGTTTACAGCGTTTCATTAATTTCGTAGGTAGGGGCCAAAGAATACTTCACAGTTCGCTCAACCGACACCGAGTGGGGGACGGACCCGACGTCCTTGACAATTTGGTTTAGTTTACGCGTTTATTCCGAAGGAATCTCGTTTCAAAGATTACATTTTACTATGCACACATTTATGTTTTAGAATATATTACTACACAATATAAACACGAGTGGCCACATGGTTGACCTACGTCTGCAACTAGATATTTTTTGCTTTTAATAGGTACCGACGTAACCGTCAGTGATGCGTCCGTCTTGTGTGATCGTAATCGCCGAGTGCGCAGGTCGATGTTGTCGCAAAACGGAAATTTTCAAATGCGTACCTAGTACCTAAGTCTGAGTACGAACGACAAGCGTAAATTTTCGAAAATTACATGCTAAATATTGTGTTAAAGTTTCAGAAAGCGCTATCGCCACTGCCGCCGATCATGGAAAATTGGAAAATCGTGACAGCCGCGGTGGCCGTTTTCGCTTTTTCGTTGGAATTTCGACCGATGGATTCGTTTCTAACGGCCTACTTGACCAGTCCCGAAATCCACGCCACTCTATCTGAGGTAATGTCGCAATATATAATGTACCTATAGCATTTTTTTTTTTTTAGAAAAAGCCGTTCGGCTTTAATATTTTCTATTTTCGTATTACATTCGATGATGGAGTTTGAATAATATTAGTTAAAAATCGTAATATAAGTCATGTCACGCATCACTGTAATTTCCCAATGTAACTAACTTTTGAGAGTCGTACATTGTTCATTAAAACTTTGTGACTTTAACGAGTACCGACACCGACTTCAAATTATATGTAACCAATAGGAACTGATCAGTTGTATAGTTTTTATAATTATTCTGAATATAATATAAATTGATATACTCGTAGGTGCATTTATAATATCAACAACTGAGCTAAGGTCGTAAGTGGTTTACGGGGTTTCTAAATAATCATAGTTTATTTTTGTATATTGGAGGTACACATTATTACGTAACATTAACTTTTGAAGCATAGGTGTTGATAAGTTATCATTTGTCATTGTTTTACGATATTGATATAAAGTTTAAATTCACCTAAAAGTCTTCCCGAAGTCTTGCGAATTGTAATAAAATATACAAAATTTTCTGCGAGAAAGTTTCTATTAATTGTTTAATTGGATCGTGACTTTTCGTCGAAAAGTCGTTTACAGATAGAAAACAATACAAAATACAAGAATTATTTTTACTGACTTTTGATATCGTTGTGTGACAGTAAAATATTCAATTCAGCGGACTCAAGTAAGTTTAAGGGAAACGTGTACATCGTCAAACTAATTTTGAAGGGGTCGAACCCTCTGGCTACGTGCCTGTTACCCCAGTAAATATAAAGCGAGGGAACGGAAAAGCGGTTATCACTGCAAAACTACAATTATATATATTTTATGAGCCAAGTTATAAAATAATAATTTGGGATAATTTATTAGACAATATTATTTTGGGTGATGCCTACAAAATATTATGTAGACGCTTTTGTGAAATGCAAGAGCCAAATCAAATTTGTTTAGTCACACATTTATCATAGCCAATTATATTATACGTAATCGACGATTCTTTCTAAAGTATATTTATTTTTTTTTGTTTGTTTGTATAAAAAAACGAGATTAGGGTTTTCATCGGTATGTCTATTCCCCTCAACAAGCAATAATGTTAATTTTTTTATTTTATCAATGAACAGCCAATTACGTCATAGAAACAACTACGGTGACGATTTACGAAATATTCACTAAGTTTTATGATGATTATACACAAAATAATATAGTAACAATAACAGCTGACTTGTAGCGTCTGCTCGAAATCACATTTGAGTTATTTCGTTGTATGTATTTAAGTTTTTTTTCATACGTTTAAGTTTTGTGGACTACTTTTTTTCCTCGTACTTCACGGTATAATGTTCTACAAAATTGTAAACGACTATCGTCTAGTCAAAAACGGTTTACGACGGAAACAATATGGTTAAGCTGCCATATATTTTGTAATAAAACAAATCGTGACAGTTAGGTTAAAATGATCATTGATCAATCTGCAAACGCGTAGTCATATATTCTTTTTTGTGTTTTTAAACGCTCTTTGAAAAATTATAGAATCCATAATATTATAATATGTTTTAAGTTTTCCATAAGATACCGGTAACATAGACGACGATTTTAGTCATTTTTTCCCTGTCCAACTAGTCAGAATTACAAAAACAATTGGAAATTGCCATTCGAGATGTTATCGGATCTTCGTCTGTATATACTAAAACCGTTAAGACATCTGAACGCTATAAATCTAAAACAACCGATTTAAATGTACTATTATTTATACCTACTTTGAAACCGCGAAAATCGTCGCGTTTCACTAAATTGCAAACTGCGCTGTCCGGATGACAAAAAATCAATTTTGGCTTATGCGGCGTGTTGGATAAAAAAACCCCGTGTTATACAAATAACATTAAAACACCCGATCGTATACGACAAAGTGAAATATTCTACGTCTGAGACAGATCGACATCGTGATTGTGACTGAGAAAAATCGATTTCGTCACGAATTCAAGACATAACTAATAGTATTCTGTCGTAGAATATTAATGCGCGTTAAAAAAAAAAAAAAAAAACCCCTACGTAAATACGAATAAATTTGCGTGAATTTATTGTTACTCGGCGCCGTGCTTTATTTGAATAGTTTTAGTTTTGCGGACCGTTTATTATATCGACGTTCATATTGAAATAAAAATATCTATCTCTTCTATCGTTTCATTTTTTTCTTGTTGAACAGAAAGAGTTTCTCAAACAGAATATTGCTGTTAAAATAATAATGCTCGATGGACAAAAATATTTAATATATTTCGCATGTTATACAAAAACGTATACTGTTTTGCAATGTTTTTAACGCACGATGTGCAATGAATTTGTAATATATTTTTAACGCCAAATAAAATCTAGGTGTTTATTTTTTTATCGAAATATCCCCGAAAATAGGAACTATTGCACCATATCATGTCTGTTATATATATATATATATATATATTTAAATATTATATTTATTATATTTATGTTTTTACATTTTTGGTAGCTCTTTCTGTATTAAAGTGCTCAAATCAGAAAAATTTAAGAATTTTTTTAGGTGGATTGAGTTGATAAAATATTGGTTGAATTTCAACACAAACTTCATCATATTTTTACGGTAATAAAGTGTTTTTTTTAACGTTAACCCTACAGATCACCCAAATAAATACGAGGGATGAAATTTTGTGTATGTATTTACTCAGATTTCATATTTATGAAAGAGAGTTCTATATACACGTGCAGACTCAAGTAATAGCAAATAACTTGGTTAAAAAATATGTAAATAAAAAGAATCGTTGTCGACAATGTGTCTTGAGAAAGTTTGAATTTCCGAATCCCAACCATACCCTCTGTTTGTAATACAAGATATACAAACTTTGTTTATCTTACCAAAAGTTTTTAGAACTACTTAACCTATTTTGAAAAAAAACTTTTTTATTCCAATTCTTATCATTACAAAAAAACAAATAATAATAATAATAAACATGAAATATTGTTACAGCAACAAGTTAGCTAGGGGAAATGTTGGTTTAAAAAAGCAGTATAATTTTGTAAATTTAACTCATTTCCAATTTAGACTTACAAAAAAAATGGACCAATATAACAGAAAGAAAGAGCTTCAGAGATCAACATTTTTAGAAAAAGCTAACAGTTTAAATTTTCAAATCCTAAATAATCTAAATAAATAGATATAATTGGCGAATATTGGCTATTCCTTTCCAAAATTATTTGTACTGGCTAACTCATTGGCGTAACCAGAGAAGTTTTAACCCCCACCCCCTCAAAGTAGAGTTTTTTTTATGAATTACACGTACTTTATAGTTGCATAATTTACACCTTCTAAAACTTTAAACATTACATTGTAATTTTGAGTATATTTGCACATAAACTATTAAATAATTTATTATTCTAAAAATAAGTTCAGCAATTTATATGAATTTCGTACTACCTTTTCCCTTCTCCCCAAAAATGAATCCTGGTTTTACCACTAGAGCAACTTAAGGTAGGGTATGAAGGACGCGTAATCTATATATAATTTACTCGCCATCATTTACTCATATCATTCTCAATTGCAACCAATCACCTTTAACTGCCTATATTCATCAATGTTTGTTATCATTACAATTCTTAGTGTTTATGATTTTTTTCTTCCCATGACATGCCCAAACCATCTCGTTCAGTCTATTTACTCTTTCTATCAAAACCACGCATCAGCTGCATATTATAATTCCTTATCCTATCTTTTCTCGTCACTCCACTCATCCACCTAAGCTTTCTTATCTCTCTTATCGCCCAATACTCCGAACCATACAAAATAGCCTGTCCCATCACACTCTAATAGAACTTAACTTCATCCGACAAAAAATAAATCTATTTATAATCTAACGTTAAGTCCATAGTTATTAACATAATATTTTTGTTTTTTTTTTTTTATAATTACTTTTCTTGCATCAAGCCACATATATTTTAAAACGATAAAACAACCGAAAATAAAATAACGTTATTATTGTAGATTTTCCTGTTTTTCATACAGTTTTCCCTGATTATTAAGAAAACTACAAGGAAAATAAAAAAAAAAGATACGGACATACTTTGCACGGTGGATGGGCCAGTATTATGTATGAGAAGTTAGGAGGGTAGGATATAGGAGAAAATAGAATGTAGATCTGAACACAACGATTAATCTTTGCTAACGAAAAACGATTATGAACGGGGCTTAGTTACACATGTTTTGAAAGACCGTAAATATTTAAAATATTTACAAATTGAAAATAATACATTCCATAAATTTTCCCGATTTTCCTGGTTTTTCACATTTATTTAAAAATGATATAAAATAGTACAAAAAAATATAAAATGATGTAATTATGATATTTGTATTGAGATAAAAATTTAATTGTGACGGACGAATTAGTGAGGGGTTTTTTTTTGAGATATCTTATGGGCTGGCGAAATATTTCGTCCCTCTTCTCAAAAACTGAAATGATGCCACTGTTCTGGATCGTCCCTACATATAGTATTAGAATGGTTCTTATTTAGATGATGACGGAATTTTCGTTTTTACGCCTCCTAAAATTTATTATTAAAACAAAAGTAAATATTAAACCATATTTGAGCTTCATGGGACAATTTTTAAGTCCCCTTTTTAACGATGTAAAGTGTCCCATATAAAATACGTGTGTTGTTTTCGTTTATTCTGAGTTTTGTTTATACATAAGGCATATATAGCAATATTGGTGACGAATAAGTCCCTAATATGCATAATATATTATGGTATAAGTTAATAATATACTGAAAATCACGATAAATCACTGGAATCGAAAAAAAAACATTTGAAGTTCAGCAAACATGTACGGTATTAATACTAGAGTATAATATTAGTCGTGTTTTTTTCACTTACAGTAAAAAAGAAAACATTAATAAATAAAAAATATATTATAGATAACTAATATAAGTATTAGTATATGCCTTGATCGAATGTTTTTTTTTTTAATTTTTTAATTTTGACTTAACTTAATTTCTCTTGATTTTCACTATTAATTATTTATTAACCTAATCTAACCATAACAGTTTTTCTCGGGAGAAAATGATGTACGTATAAAAAAAATTATTTTATTCCGTTTTCAATAAAGACACTAACCGTCCATTACAGAAAACAATGGCTAATGATTTTTTTTTTCGCAAATTCATTGATACTTGAAAACTGTTGAACGTATACGTAGTATACCTACTCGCGATTTAAAAACAAATTTTAAGAAAGAAAGAATACGGTGTGTATGGGATGTACACTAAATGAACATCACTAACTATAACGCGGATCACGGATACAGTGATTAGTTATCAGTCTGGTCATTATTGTTGTACTTGCAGGTCTCGGACGTATTGACGCCGATTAGGATCCAATTCGGAGTGATCGGCACGTTTCTGGTATTCCTGCTGGCTGACTATTTACGATACAAGCCAATCATGATTTTCAACGGTACACTGGGCATGTTAGCGTACGCCTGTCTAATGGGCTCTCCAACGATATTTCGCTTAAAGGTATCATATAGGTACAGACATATTGTTAATAAATAATAATTATTAGTTAATTTTTTTAGTTGTTAGCAATATTTGGTTATTATGGTAATAGTTTTAAGATTTTATCTATAATATATATATTTTTTTAAACTTCAGGTGTACAAACATAGAATATTTGAGCAAATTATACATTATTTAGTTTTTCCAAGGTATAGGTACGCGTAATTATTATTGAAGATGATCAATTCTCGATATAAAAAACTTTTTTTCGAAAAATAAATTGACAATTTTCACTATTTCTGTTTTTTGTTTTTTGTTTTTTTTTTTTTTTGACAATTTATGAAACAAGCAGTTCCAGAATATTTTATAACCGTTACATTTTCTCGCCCTTATCGTTGTGAGTGAATCCACACTACCCACGTTTGATTTTCAAATAACAACTAATATCAAATATGCATGAAAATCAAAATGTATTTAAACTAAAACTTCACCTATTTATGAAATTTGTAATTTAAGTTGCTGTTTTAAAATCAAAAATGAAAACAAAAACAGAAAATAATGATAATGATGATGCAACATTTCAGAACTGCTTGTTTTTTAAATTTTCCAAAATAATTCCGAAAACATATCAATACATTCCGAGATAATGATTGCATTTTTATCGATCACACCGTATGTTCTTAACTCGATTTAACATGACCATAATATGATTTTACTGTTCTGTGTACCTATATTAATTATGACGTCATGTACGACAGGTGGTCGAGGTTTGCCTATCGCTATTCACGTGTGCCGAGGTGTCGTATTACGGTTATCTGTTCGCCAAGATCAAAGAAAAGGAACAATATCAAACAGCGACGGGATGCGCAAAAGCCGGTATGCTGAGTGGCAAGTTCGCGTCCGGTATTCTCGGTCAAGCGGTCGTGTACTTCAATAACCACGACTACTCCACGCTGCCGTATTACAGTTTCACTAGTACGGTTTATTTTTTTTAAAAATACTATAAAATAAACGTCTCCCGTTATCTATTCATAACTATAATAGATACAACGTGTAGCGTGTGTGGCGTTTTGTCTAGAAACTTTAAAATTTTGCACAGAGATTCCTTTTAAAACATAAAAACAGATAAGAAAGGATTTTTCAAAATTCAAGGAGTTAAAAAAGGTTATCAAAATTAGTGTGAAGTTCCGTTAAAAATACGTATAATAACCAAAATCTTCGAGTAAAGAATCGATTAAATAAATAGTTAACAAATGATTGGTATATTTCTAATGCCGTGAAGATTAGATAACTTTTAGAGAGCATATATAAGAAGTGTATAATCACGGGGGAAAATCAATAATATACTTTTAAGTTTATAATCAAATAGAAGAAAAGGACTGATATTAGTAGATATAAATAAAAAGATGATCAATGACTATATACTATCAATACTATCGTATTAACATACGATATAATATAGTACATGAACAATAGATTTTAGTTTTTTAAATTAAGAAGAAAGGATGGAAAATAAATATAGCCGAGGTAATCGTATTAACTTAGAGTTTTGCATTGTGATCGTGTGGAAGAAAATTTTAAGATTTAACTGCTGGACTATGCGTGCACGAAGTCGTGAGTAACAACAAGAAATATGTAGAATTATAATATGTAATAACATATACCTATTATCCTGAAGAAGCGCTCGTCGTGTATGACAAGACATAAAAACGAATGTTGGAAGTATCCATTAAAAACCAAAAGCGGTTCCTGTATTAAGGATGTAAGTCTACAATAGTTGTATGTAACACCCCAACCTTTCGGGAATAACGGTCATTTAATCGACAGATACCTATTGAAATCTAACAAATTTTGTAAAAGGAATCCAAAATCTTGAAACTAGCTTAGCTGCAATTGGAAAAGAAACCCTCCCTTATTCTTAAACTCATTCCTAGATTCGGAAGTCACGATAATGTAGTGTGAATACGATTTTGGGGCGTTTTATATTTTCATGGGGCGTTGATGAAGAGAGTTCCAAGTCCGGGAGGATATCCTCTTACAGGGTACTTAAGGATGTCAATCGATCGACCGAGGTCGAATTGTATTTAATTATCATCGTAAATTATGACAAAATCGTATAATATTATGTTTTTCTATACAGGCATGACTTTTGTAACCGTATGGGGGTTCTTATTGCCGTCCGTCAGACACAGCCAATACTTTCACGCAGAAGAACAAGTGATTGCTACCACCACCGGAACCGTTGCCGACGATTCAAGTGCGGAATATTTCTCGAAAAAGGCGATCCAAGACCCGAATATTCCCAAATACATCGTGGAAAAAGACGACCGGCAACAAAACGTGAGCTTTCTAAATTTTATAACTGTTTGCAAATATTTAGTATAAAATTTGTATACAATTTTGCTAAACTTGTAAGGGATTGATTTTTGTCTTACAAAAACAAAAAATTTATAAAGGAGAAATACTTTCCAAATTGAATGTTAAAATGTTCTTGCAAGAAAAAAAAACATGGAATTTCGTTTCTGGAAGTATTAGGGCTAGAAAAACATAGTTAGTTCCAAAAATATTCTTATGCCCGGTACTTAATATTTTAAAAATTACGATTTGTAAATCGAAATTCCCTGATTTCTTATTTTTTTCATGACTATGTATAAACCATATTTAAATTACGTTTAGGTGGACCAGACGATTGCAGTGGCCACAAACCCATTCAAACGGATTTATGAAGACTTCAAATATTCATACAAAGACACAGAGGTTTTGTGGTGGTCTTTCTGGCACATCGTAGGCCTGTTCGGATATGCTCAGGTACAATTCCTAATATTAATGTGCTCCCACCGAGTAAACACAATAAAAATTTCGATTCTCAATTTGTAATGATTTTTTCCCCAGATAATTTTATATATAAACGTTTTGTATACGTACGAAATGGACGTGTCGGACGATAAAAACACATTGTACAACGGTTTAGTTGATTCGATCGCCACAATGAGCGGTGAGTTTATTTGTTTCTTTTCAAGTCCGCCTAGATGATTAGCGTGAAGACAAGTTTGATGCATATAGTTTTTAATAAATACTTATTTATATATTATTGACTTCTAATGTTAATATTATTATGTTTATACAGCTGCAATTTGTGCGTACAAAATCGGCAAGGCGAACGTCGACTGGACTCGACGTGGTGACATGTTTTTGGCAATAAGTTCCTTAACGCTCGGGCTGACCATGTGCCTTTGTTACTTTTTCAAAAACATATTTCTAGTATACGCCATGTTTATCTTCTATGACACACTGGTGGAATCCACGTTCGTCATCGTCATGTGAGTATTTCGATTGTCAATATATGGTTTTTCGTGTTGTTCAGATCTCGGTCATCTAGAAAACCGCGACTATTGCCGCTTTATCATTTGCAAGGTTTAAATTATGTGTATCATAAGTAAACCCTATAAGAGGCACAGGGATAACTAGGAGAGGGGGTGTAAAGAAGAACACCCTCCTAGCCCCCCAGTCTCCAATTTATTTAGCCCTCCTAAAAAGGCTAGCTGACTACAAATAACTTCTACTGACTTCTAATAATTTCAGAAAAATTTAAAAAAAGTATTATTTTTTTATACAAAATAATAACTTGATAAAAATTGATATTTTAGATTCAGAGCGGAGGAATATATTGGGTGTGCTACAATGATGTTTGTTTTTTTTTTTATATTTTTTCATATAAGTAACAGAAAACCATTCCTTACGAAAAAACGATTCTGAGCGGAGTTCAGTAGATAATGATGTTTTGTCAACAATATATGTTATATTATAGTAAAATAATTAAATAGGTATTATACATTTTCTTTAAAAATATTTGTTTAATGTTGTACTGATGTTATGAAATGTATATGACACGAAATAAAAATTAACATAAATAGTCATTAAATAAACTTTATTAAAACTATAGAACGAAGTCCAGCAGCATCGCCACATGGACTTCCCTTCATTTTCTCTTTCTACTCCTTTTATAAGCGTACAATATTAATAATTTACCCTACTTCTTAAATACTACCTAGATACTATTTATTATTAAAATTTCTTAATGCTTACGAACTGTATTACCATTACACAGTGTGACATTGACACTCCACATATACTACAAAAGGCTATCTGATTATTAATTTCATTTCGGATATTTTCTAATTTTTTCCCCGTTATTTTTCCATTTATTCGGAAAATTTCTGGGAAATCTTCATTTGAGGTACTTTTAGACCTCCCAAAAGTACCACTCCACAGTCAGATTTCCTTTCGGAAAAAAAGCTTTACTTAAAAATTGGAGCAAAGTTGCTGGTAGAATTGTCCATAGAAAAAATAAAAATAAAAATATTATTATCATTGTAAAATTTAAAATACATTCAAGGCTCCGATTAGAACTAAAAATTAATATGTAACCGAGAAGATAACTGGTGATGTACTAACAAAATTCGAATAACACGTCATTTGCTATTTAAGGTTTCCAAGCACTACATATTCTAAAAAATAAAATTATAACATCAAACGATCCCACATACATATTTCATTATCGTTATCAACAATTTATGTACATTTTGATCAGGTGACAAAAGCGATTGCGTACTCTGAAAGCAACCATTGTATTAGCGCACACTGCGTAGTGTGCATTATTGGGACTTGGCACCGACCTTTGGACAAAATATCCATGCCAATAATTTAAAGCCACGGTTCGGATAAATCATCGGGAAATATGGTTTAAATTCAACAACATTTTCACTGTGTGAACTGTATACTATATATTATATAGTTAGGTATTAAGTCGTATATATACACAATCGGCAAGATAATTCGCCGTTAAATGAATTAAAATATACTGATTCTAAATAATAAAGAATTTTTACTGTTTAAAATAGTATCCAGTTCTTAGTACACAATTAACAATAATTGTGCACTGTTGTGCAGTACTGACAACTATATTGCTATAAACGTTTTAATAAGTACTCTGACCCGTTTTCTCCGTTTCAGATCGCAAATCGCCAAAAGACTGAGAAACGACTGTTACACGTTAATCTTAGGATTCAACGCGTTCGTGGCCGTCGTGCTCTGCACGTTATCGTCCACCTTTCTAACGGCAATCCGATTATCTATACCCGCAAAGGTAACCTATACCAAATGACTACATAATAGTACTATAATATTGTGACTAATGCCGAAATAAAACATCTTTTCGGCGAAGAGTATATAATCAATTAAAAGGAAACTAATTGACTGCCCATGGCACGCACAAAAATCGAATTGCAATATAATAGACGCTCTTAAATGGAAATCGAAAGGTAAAAGACTACAGTAAAAAAGAATAGATAAATACGCAAAACCATGATATCCCAGATACTTTATTCGATAATTCGAAAGAAACGGCAAGCAATAAAATAAAGGTCCTTCGCCTTCAATATATCCAGGTACACGTTTTTATGCGATGATCCCGCGATAGGAATTAATGTACACTTCTGCCCTTTCCACTTGTGTGCTTCACATTAATTACAATTTACTTTCTGAAACCAAGTGATGACTAGTTCGTAAGATTGAATGATGATGTTCTTGAAAATTTAAGTAAAAATATAAACACGATATGAAAGCATGTGGAGTAAATGGGCGAGAATTCATAATAGAATATGGATAAGCATTTTAATAGCAAGGATAAAAGTAACCGACCGAAATTATTCTTGGTTTTAAGATAAACTAGAATTCGCTGTGTAAGTCAACTCAGGTTAACTATACGCACTATACAATGGATAATACTGTACCTACATAATATAGTACTTTATGGTAGTGTTAACATAATGGTGATCGGAATTAAACCTGGTGTTATATAGGTACTGACTTGTTGGGTGTTGTTACAGTTTTTGGCGTACGGCGGTACATACGTGACTCTCGGTATCATTTACGGGTGTGCAGCCGTTTACAAGCGAAACACTGCGGTCGTTGTGTCCAGAAGACGCTTTCATCGGATACCCTGATTGTCACGGGTCAACCGAAAACTACACCTTCAGTCTCCGTGTCGTAATAATAATATATTATACTGCGTGACGTGCGTATATCTACAAATAGTACAAATTCAATATATAAAATATACCGCTTCTTTCAATATTTCCGTCTGTGTTTTCAAATCACCTTCTAAACGCTCCTTTTACTCGTTTTCTGAGCTATGCTAATGAAGAATTATCGTTTATGTTTTAATTTAATTAATTAGTTAACAATTAAATTGTCTTAAGCATTTGTCTTTTAGTTTTTTGAATTCTGAACGGAGCGAGGAATGTATTTATTATTTTTTTTTTTTTATTGCTTTCTTGGGTATAATTCTCAATATTTTTAATATGTTACTGTGTGTTATATATGATCGTATTGTTTGTTAATTTGAGCATTTTCCGTAGAAAATATGATAAATAAATAAACGAATAAAATATACCAGCCTTGCATTTTGCATTATTATGATTTATGGCTATTTTAATTGATTATTCATTGATATGTATTAATAATGTATAATAACTTACATAAATAGGTATATTTTTTTCCCAATGTTTCTTAAATTTAATAAAAGCCTGTATCGGAGATTATACTATACGCTATTTACAGCAGAAGTTTACACTATACCCGTGCAGGAGATAATTTGCATTTCCTCTTTCGTTTTCTTGAAATAAAATAATTAAAATTATTACTGAAACGTTTGAATTAAACATTTAATATACATATCGTTACGTTTTAAATGTATACGACTAATTGAATAGATTATTATTCGTCTAAACGATACGCGTAAATTCGCCCAAATGAAATCTCATACAAGGACAGCGGTTGATTGCAACCTATTCACGAATCTATCGAAGAGCGTTTTCGATTAAAAAATAAATATAACAATAAAAAATAGACACATCTTCAACATTGATTTCGATATCAAATCCAAACGATATTAAAAACGCTTAATATTTAATTAATATTTTAAATCGAAAACACTTTTCGATTGATTCGAGAAAATTAGCTCCTCAATCTGGGTATATAGGTACCAAATTTTTCTCGAAACCGAACGATAATAAATATAACGGAACTTTTTTCATATAAAGTCTGCAGTACGGCCCGACAAACATAGCACGATCGAAAAAATCGTAAACAACATACTCGTAACGTTATTTGATCCGAAACGGTTCGGTAAATGTTCTACCATGTTCGTAAACTTAAATTGCTTTTGTCTCTTCCTGCCGAAATCGGGTCGTATAACATTACATAAGCACTTATTTTTCCGGCGGACATTGCAATTCACCAGGCTTTTTTTTTCCGAAACGTATATTATAATTTGTGTAAAATGGACAATGGCGCCAGTCGGGTATTTTAATACTATACGAGAACGAAATTAATTTGAAAACACGCCAATTTATTGTTTCCCGTTTAATATTTTCCCCGTCTCTATATACCAGTGGTTCCCAATCATGAATAAAGGAAATATGAAAACTCATGCGTCTATACGCGTGATACCTGAGTAAAACGGTTCTGTTCGTTTTAACCAAAACATTGTCTACTTGATGAGCAAGTTGTATATTTCAAAAAAAAAAAAAAAAATGAATTTTCTGATATTATCCATGGGAAACATTGACGTGAAAACCATTCGATAATACAAACAATTATTTAAGATTTTTTTCAATCGATACACCGGTCCACCGCGATAGTTATTATTGATTCACAACATCAAAGACTTTTTTGACTGTTTTTAGAAGAATACAAATTTAGTGTAGTGGAAACACATCACACCATTAAATATATATTACTATAATTGTGGGGAATTTTCTTACGTTATCTTTTTGCATTTTTGCATTTTCTATAATATATTTGTGTGCGTAAAAAAATTTTCGAGTACTCGTCATACAAATATAATCAGAAGAATTTGATGGACGCAAGTGATGACCGCAGCAGCTATAGCTCTGAGCAACAGTATTCATTATAAAATTATTTAAAATTTTGCTAAGGACAATCAAGCTCAATTATTACATTGCTTTCTCATCATAAATATTATAACAGTAAACTATATAGTTATGTAGGCAATCTGTGAAAAAAAGTAGCGAACCAGGTTAATAAACCAAAACAAAAAAAGTTTCCCTCAAACCAAGGTAATTCGTGATCTGTTGAAAGTTGTCTAATAGTCTGTACTGTTGTAAAAAGGCTGAGAAATACAGCTATATACCTACGAATTTTATACCCACACAGAAAGAAATATTCTAAATAATATTGACAAAGTCATTATGTGAAATACTATTCATTTTCTAGTATAATATCATCTAAGTATTAAAATTAAATTAAATTAAATAATGTGTCTGTTTTAGATTCTGAGTATAGCGAAAAATGTATTGATTTTACAAAGATTTTAATTTTTTTTTTTTTATCCTGTATACAAAAATTCTACGAGAAGTCTTGCTTTGATATGTACGCGTGGCACCATTTCTATTAATATTGTCCAGGTGGCGTTTTTGTGAGGTTATTTTTTTGATTTTCCGAGCGGTTTTTGATGTATCTAGGAAAAAACAGGATAAAACGTAAGAAAACGGGAAATTTACTAAATAAATATTATTATTTTATTATTCGGAAAATTGGTACAATATTAAACAAATATTACTAAAAAAAATGCATAACGCATATTTAATTATTTTACCGTAATATGACATATATATTGTTGACAAAGCATCACTATCAACTGAACTGCGCTCAGAATATTTTTTCATTTGCAATGGGTTATCGTTGTTTACAAATGTACATTAAATTACCTATGACAGTGGCTGCACCAGTCTCCATTATCCTAGAACGTCTTTTTTTTTTGTGTCTGAAAACGACCATCAGAAATCTTACTCCATTAAAAAAATACCAAGAGACCTTTTTTTCGTTACATTTTGTATCTAGTAAATTAATAAATTAAGGCGTTTTTTCATTATCCAGCCAGTTTTTACAACAATTGGAAACCGTTGGGGAAAAAGTAGATATTTTGAGTTTTTTTTATAAACGTTTTATGGTAAAATTTTATCGAAAATCAACAAACTTACGATATTTCAAAACATGTATAACAGAATTCCACTCAGAATCGCATTTCGTTAGCAAATCGTTCATCATTACTTAGGTATATAATTTTAATATCTTCATAATTTATAATAAGAGATGGAGGAGAATTTGTTGTACGGAATGGTCCTGAAGGCCGAAAAGCCCCTCCAAAAAAAAAAATTAAATAATAACCTTCTCGACTTCTCCCCTACAGCAGTGGTATTAGCTCTTTGTTTAATTGCATATTTTTTTTTGTGTATGTGTGAGCGTGTAAATATTGTAAAAGTCTTCCCTCTAAATTTGAAAACCATTAGGCAGAAAATAAAAACGTATGGGTTTAAACATGTCTGTACGTATATACCAGACGCTTAATACAATTCGCCAAAAGGAGAGTGTGTACGTATTTAATATTTACGAGTAGTATATTTATTTTAAACCGCCGCCGCCGCCGTCATCGTCGGTTAAAAATCCGACAACAGGAAGTGCAAACAGGAACCGCGATAGTCGTCGATTCGTTAATATTTTAGTTCCGATTGCCCGACCGGAAGGCAAGTGTTCGGGTTTCCGACTCGAAATTCGCTTTTTATATACTGGAAACTTTGAGGGATATTCTAGGCGGGTGATGCGTCCGCCGTGATGATGTACTTTTACGCCGACGGAATACGTTATATCAACGTATCTGTGTGTAAGTACATACACTGGTGTAGACAGGGATCTTAGTGTCAATAGGGGTTTGGGAGGGTTTGACAATTTTCCATTGAAATTAATGTTTAAAAAGACTCGGACGTACTTTGGGATGCATTATGTTGGTAAGATATAATAGAAAATAGGGTGATTTATATATAGTTTATATTACACTGAAGGCAGCGATAAATCATTGAGGACGGAAAACGATTCTGAATGGAGCTCGGTTAACTATAAATTATAATATTATAGCTATAGTTTCCGTGACAACCATTACAGTCGGCTTTTTCGGTCAAAGAACAGAATAAAAAAAAGAGCTGATACTGGGGATGGCCATTGTGCGGCCATCGTTGTAGATGGGTAGTGGAAAAGGTAGGGTACATAAAGTTAATTAATTTATACCTGTAACCAACGATAGAACATTGATAATGAAAAACGATTCGGAGCGAAGTTCAGTTATGCCTACATGTTTTGAAAGGCCGTCATATTTACAATTTCGGCAAAATTCGATTTTAAAACTCTTATAAAAAAAATACTAAAATACACTTATTATTTTTTTACCACTTAGTACAACTTATAATGAACCTCCTATTAAATTTTCAATAAAATAATAAAAATATTATTTTCGTAAATTTTCGATTTTATTCTATTATTAAAAAAACTACAAAGAAAATCGGAAAACTATTTTTTTGGTCACCGACAATATTCAATATTCAACAAAAATATCTCTAGTTGTTTTTCTATTAGAACAGTATTTATGGTAGAAAACATATAATGTACTAATTTAAAATAACGAAACCGAATCGCCGCGGCGCGCCGTAAATATTTGCGTTTTACCATAATTTTCTTTCGGGTTATTACCAACTATTACGAAAACCCCTTGGAAAATCAAAAATAATGACCACTCTAATGCAACACTAAGACAAAGTTTCCCTTTAAAAAAAGGTGCTATACTCTGTACATCAGAGCAAGGTTTATTTTCGAATAGTTGTTTAGTGATAGAAAAAAAAAAAATTGCATATTGATGGTTATTACTTGATCAATGATCCTCATGATGGCGTGTGGCGTATTTATATAATATACTCATAGAACGATTTGAATTGATATTTGATAAGACGCGTTAAATCTTGAGTGCATAGACATATTATTAATATGCTATAGGTGTATGCTTTAATGTGTTCTCTGTGGACAGAGTATAGACACATCATGTATGAACATATTTAAAAAAAAATATATATTTAATTTTTTGGTGTAAATATATTTAGTTTACACCACCGTAAACAATCAGTATAAAAGAGAAACTCTATGGTCCGACTGATAATCATATTTTTAACCACGGTCGCGGTTTCAGTACTAAAGTTAGACGCCACGTTTATTGATAGATTCGATCAGCTATAACCGTGTTTTTAACCACAACGCAATAACAGTGCTACTCTATGTTCTTTACGTTTTTTTTTTTTTTTTAATTGATATTGTCGTGTAATGGTACTAGAATGAATTTGTATAATCCGGTTGTTTAATTATTTTATTCCGTGGTTCACTTAAATCGTTTTATTAAGAATTATTTACCCGTGAGTTTTTGAAGCACAAAGACATTTTTTCGTACGATTCACCGCCACATCACAGTATTTGAACGCATTCT